TGACTTCTGGATTCTAGGGTTAGGTTTTAGGGCTAAGAGGAATCGATTTCCACCTGTGGCCAACTAGCGCTACACGTTGTTCATGGAGATGTCGCCGGAGGAGATCCTACCACTGTGAAGGCGTGGCGGAGGAGTACGCCGCGGCGGTGCAGTGGCTCGGGAAACGACTATTCGAGCTGCTGTCGGAAGATGTGTACATGTTATCAAACAGCATAAATGACAGATATAAGAGGATGTTAATTTCTTCCTATGCAATGGATGAATGTGATGTTTGACAAATTATGGATAGGAAAAGAGAATAAACACTAACTGGGGAATATATAAATAGAAGAGGGGAAGGGAGATAGCGAGAAGTATATATATAAGATAGGTGGCTAAAAAATGGTACTTTCTTCACACAACATAGAGAAAGGAAACCAAAGGAGATAGCATTTCATGTGAAATAGTAAATGTGTATGTTCGATGTAGTAAATACATCTCATGTACAACACTCCCAATAAATGGTCCCTCCTATGTCTTTCCCATCAGCAAACTGACCAAAAAATTTGACAATTTGACCCTTTCCAAAAACTTATTTCGCAAATGAACTGCGCCCAAAACTTATTTCAAAAATGAACCGAAGGTTCAGCGCCAAATGCTTCGGCGCTGAACGTAGCCAGCTCAGCGCTTGGTCAACCGGCGCTGAATGGCATGCCACCGTGGATGGCAGGCTGACTCGGCGTGCTAACATGTCAAAGTTCAGCACCACCCGACTCGGCGTTGAGGTGGCTAATCTCTGCGCCATTCGATATGGCACAGAGCTTCGAGACATTAAGGCCTACCCGCCCCGGCCGAGAGAAGGAGCTCTCTCAATTCTCTCTCTTTCCCGCTCCACAAAAACTATGATGGCGACGGCGGCGTTCCTCTCTGACCCTAATCCGCCTCTAACCCATGGGGAATCAATGGGATTTGGAGGGGATTTCATGTGGAGGTTGTGGAGTAAGGTAACCTTCTCGAAATCCACCTATATTTTCTATTAATGGTGCCAGATATTGGCTACAACCAGCACCTATAGGGTTTAACGAGGAAAAAAAATGCCGGCTCGGCTCGAGTCAAACCGATATGAGCAGAGCATGCATTGCAAAGCGGATTCACATCACTAAATCCATCAGAAATTCACTAAATCAAAATGACTAAGAGAAAGATTCACCATACAAAAAATCAACCAAAAAAATCCAAATCAAATCAAATCTGGCAATGGAACAGAACACGGGACGCCTCCATCTCCTCGTTGCCCGGCGCTCCTTCCGGCTGCAGCCCGGGAATGCTGGCAAGTACGTCGTGCTCGTGAACATGTACGTCGCGCGCGAGATGTGGGGCAGCGTGGCTGGCACGCACGAGGCGATGTGGACCCGGCCTAGAGCGCACGACGGCATCTGTCGGGGCGTCGCCGAGGGCTAAGGAGGAGAAGGAGCGCCCGGCGGCAAGGAGGAAGAGGGAGGAGGAAGTCGGGGTAGCGGCAGTGGTAGCTAATAGGAGAAAGAAAGAGTGCCTAGCGGCGGGGAGGAGAAGAATCAATTGAGGATGAAGAAGGGCACGACTAGATAAAGCCGGCCGGCTCGGTCGCCCATTTTTTTATTCTTTAATTATAGGTGTTGGTTTTTTAAAGGACCGGCACCTATAATATTTATATAGGTGTCTTTTTAAAAAAAAACCGAAACTAAAGGTATAGTTACTGGTTTTTATTTATAACTAACACCTATATGTTCTTAAAGTGTCAGTTTTCAATTTTTTATCCCATAGGGGTGGGAAACGGCCAATAGGTACCGGTTTTAAATGAACTGGCACCTAAGCCGACTCCTATTAAGATTTTTTTAAGTGGTGTGTAGAACTAATTCAGGAATACTTATATTCGTAGATGGACAAGAAGCTAGCGAATGATACAATAATAGGCTTTCGGCGAAACTCCGTGGAGATTAGAAGCACTAATTAAACCTACACACAAAGAAAACATCAAAAATAGCTTGAAAAAGAAATTCAAAAGACAAAAAGACATGCTAACATCCGGTGTCTCTTGACACAAGCTATGTTTAGTCACGATAAAATTGGAAGTTTGTTTGAAATTGGAACGATGTGACGAAAAAGTTGGAAGTTTGTGTATAGAAAAGTTTTAATGTGATGGAAAAGTTAGATGTTTGAATAAAAAACTTTGGAACTACGGCGACAGTTCCTGCTAAAGCTACCGCTACCACATTGCTAGTGTCACAATCACCTACATCACCATGAACCGACACATTCGCACATTGACGCTGACGCTTCTAGAGCAGTGCACCACGCGGTCACCTCCCCATTGTCATACCTCAGTGTGTAGCACCTACAAAGAGGTCATTGTTCATGGCCTCCCACGACCGACCACCTACAGGAGAGGTCCTTGTTCTGGCCCCTCGCGACAGCTAGCCCTTGTCCCTCCCTTATATATGTCGTTATGTCGAGCCAGCATGATTGATCAAAATGTAGGAGTAACAAATTATTATCAACACGTTAAAAGGTTCTAAATAAAGTATATTTTTGAAACCACGATTGTGACTTAGTATAAAAAAATCCATCTAAAACTTTGAAACGTTGCGTGATATAATTAAATAAATGAAAAAGCAATAAATAAGCAGCGGAAAAAATACTACGTATGTTTCATATATCTTTCATATTATAAGCGCTTTTATTTTTTTTTCAAATCAAACTTTTAAAGTTTAACAAGTTTGTATAGAAGCATATAATATCATTTTCAATATAAAATAAAGTTATTGTTAGAATATATTAAATGTTATATGTAATAAAACAAATTTGGTTTTGTAGAGTTTTGTTAAATTTTTCTACAAACTAAGTTAAACCTAAAGAAGCATATTACTTATGAAAAAAAATATCAAAGTATCAAAAGCGATTTACAATAGGAAAAAGAGGGAGTACCGTTTTGCGCCACATTGGTTGTCGAGGGTTATATAAGTGTTTGACCGGTATCACATTTGCTCTCGGCCACCAGCACGGCACAACACCACACTCGCCCCCTCTGTTTTCATATCATATTATATTATATTATATGACAATGCCCTCTCTGTTTCATATCATATTATATGTCATTATGAATTTTTTTTTCTTAGTCAAACTTTTATAAGTTTGACCAAGTTAATAAAAAACGTATAGCAATTACTATCAAAATATATTCAAATGTTATATTTAATGAAATTAATTAGATTTGGTAGATATTGATAAAGTTTTTTATAAATTTGATCAAACTAAAAAAAAGTTTTACTATGGAAAAAGTTAAAAAAAATGAAACGGAGGGAGTATATTACTATGGAGTACCGTACATCAATCCATCCTTAAACCTTTTCGCAAAATAATAATAATAACATCCAGAAATAAGTGTATGATTTTTATGTAAATAAAATATTATACAAGGAAAAACCAAGGTGTAAATTAGTTGGCGTGCCAACTAGCGCGCGGATTTTCTAGTATGTTTCATATTATAAGCGCTTTTTTTTCAAATCAAACTTTTAAAGTTTGAATAGTTTGTATAGAAGCATATAATAACATTTTCAATATAAAATAAACTTATTGTTAGAATATATTAAATGTTATATGTAAATAAACTTGGTTTTGTAGAGGTTTGTTAAATTTTTCTACAAACTAAGTTAAACCAAAAGAAGCATATTATTAAAAGAATAGAAAAAGGAGACTCCACGTTCGCTCTCATGGCCTAGAAATTCTCACATTAATCGGAGAAAAAGAAAAGACAGAGTCCATATAGAAATACAATTTAGAAATAGCTGAAATTCGGAATAAAAAAATAAGGAATATTAGAAGATCGAGGAGACTAGAGTCCATACAGAAATACAATTAGGAAATAAATGAAATTCGAAATTAAAAAATAAGAAATATTAGAAGAGGAGACTAGAGTCTATATAGAAATACAATTAGGAAATAACTGAAATTCGGAATTAAAAATAAGGAATATTACAAGTAGAGTATGGAGTTCATATAGAAATACAATTAGAAAATAATAGAAACTCGGAATCAAAAATAAAGAATATTAGAAGTAGAGTATAGAGTCCATATAGAAATACAATTAAGAAAAAAAATAGAAATTCGGAAATAAAAAATAAGGAATATTAGAAATAGAGTATAGAGTCTATATAGGAATTTAAAACTAACTAAAATTTAGAATAAACATAATAAAATTAAAAGTAGAGTTTAGAGTCCATATAAAAATACAATTTACAAATAACTAAAATTCGAAATTAAGAAAAGCATGGGAAGAAGAGTTTAAGGTGAATATAGGAATACAAGTATAGGAATACAGTTTAGAAGTAACTGAAATTCAAAATTAAAAATTAAAGAATATTGAAAGATGAGTTTAGAGTCCATATAGAAATACAATTAGAAATAATAAAAATTCAGAAATAAAAATAAATAATATAGGAATATTATTAATTTACAAATACAATTTACAGAAAATTTGAAATTAAAAAAAAGAAATATGAAAAGACGAGTCTAGAGTCCATATAGGAATATACTCCCTCCGTTTCGAAATATTTGACACCGTTGACTTTTTAGCACATGTTTGACTGTTCGTCTTATTCAAAAACTTTTATGAAATATGTAAAATTATATGCCTACATGAAAATATATTTAACAATGAATCAAATGATAGGAAAAGAATTATTAAGTGTCAAAATTTTTTGAATAAGACGAACGGTCAAACATGTACTAAAAAGTCAACGGCGTCAAACATTTCGAAACGGAGGGAGTATATAATTTACAAATAACTAAAATTTGATATTAAAAATAATTAATAACTAACATGTATATAAAATATAATATGAAAATTACACATTAGTAGTTTTGTAAAGTTATTGCAAAATTTAAAATTATGTTGTCATTTTAATATATTTGAATAATATAATAAGAAAACACATATGCTATTATATGAGAGAAAATATAATAATGCTAGCCGCGCAATCCGCGGGCCACCATGCTAGTTACATGGAAAAACAATATCAATGTATCAAAAGCGATTTACAATACGAAAAAGAGGGATTACCGTTTTGCGCCACAATCCACGTTGGTTGTTGAGGTTTATATAAGTGTTCGACCGGTATCGCTTGCTCACGGCCACCAGCACGGCGGCAGCACTCAAACGTTCATTCACCGCACAACACCACACTCGCGGACTCGCCCATATGGCCACCTTCTCCGGCACCGACCGCCTCCGCGACCTCCACGCCTTCGACGACACCAAGGCCGGCGTCAAGGGCCTCGTCGACGCCGGCGTCACCACCGTCCCCTACTTCTTCCGCCACCACCCCGACCCACTCCCCGTCGCCGCGCCGTCGGAGGCCGCCGCGGCCATCCCTCTCATCGACCTCGCCAAGGCCGACGTCGACCGTGGCCACGTCGTCTCCCAGGTGAGGTCCGCCGCCGAGTCGGCCGGGCTTTTCCAGGTGGTGAACCACGGCGTCGCCGGGGAGCTCATGGACGCGATGCTCGCGGCGGCGCGGCGGTTCAACGAGCAGCCCGCGGAGGCGAAGGCGCCCTACTACACCAGGGACCTCGGCAGCAAGGTCCGGTTCTTCTGCAACTTCGACCTGTTCCAGTCGCCGGCGGCGCAGTGGCGCGACACGCTGTACGTGGAGATGGTGCCCGACGCGCCCTCGCCGGAGGAGATCCCGCCGCCGCTCAGGGGCGTCGCGGAGGAGTTCGCCGCGGCGGTGTGGCGGCTCGGCGAGCGGGTGACCGAGCTGCTCTCGGAGGCGCTGGGCCTTCCCCCCGGGTACCTCGCCGAGCACGCCGGGTGCATGGACGGCATGAGCATGGTGGCGCAGTACTACCCGCCGTGCCCGGAGCCGGAGAAGACGATGGGCACGACGCGGCACTCCGACCCGAGCTTCCTCACCGTGCTGCTGCAGGACGAGTCCGGCGGGCTCCAGGCGGTGCTCCCGCGGCCCCCGGAGGAGCGGTGGGTGGACGTGCCCCCGGTGGCCGGCGCGCTGGTGGTGAACGTCGGCGACCTCCTCCAGCTGGTGTCGAACGGCCGGCTCCGGAGCATGGAGCACCGGGTGCTGCCCACCGCCGCCAGCGCGGCGCGGGCCCGCGTGGCGGTGGCGTGCTTCTTCCGGCTCGAGTACTCGGCGTCGTTGACGAGGCCGAGGTCGTACGGCCCGATCGTGGATTCCGGCGAAGGCGGCGCGCGGCGGGCGGCGGCGGTGTACAGGAGCACGACGCCGAGGGATTTCCTGGCGTACTTCAACGGCAAGGGGCTCGACGGGCGGTCGGCGCTGGAGCATTTCAGGATTCCGGAGGCGGCTGCGGCTTCTTCCGCCGTCGACGTCGTCTCCTCCTCCACCACCGCCGCCGCATCCATTCCACGGTAGCAATCGTGTCGGTGCGTGTTGAGGTTGTTGCTTGCTGGTAGCTAGTGTGTGTTATCCGGAAGGGTCGTAGCAGTGTACGCGTGGCGATTTGTTGGTTGCCAGTCAGGTTAGGCCAGGTGTTACGTCACTGATTAATTTGTATGATCGTACTATGGATGGCATGTAAAACTTGGTGATTTTTGTACTGTAATAAATGTCGATCTTGACGTGGTTTAATTTGGGGTCACAGCTCACTCACATATGAGGGCATCCTCAATGTTTTTGTTTCAAAAGTAAGAAGGTGTGTCCATATAAGATGATAATAGTAGATTAAAGATGCATTACAATGTTTATAGATACCCATTCTTTTATAAGCACAAAACAAACATGAGGCCTAGTTTACTTCCTAACTTTTTCTTTAAACTTCTAACATTTTTATCACATCAAAACTTTTCTACACATACAAACTTTCAACTTTTTCATTACATAGTTCCAATTTAAATTAAATTTTCAATTTTAATGTGAACCTTAAACACAAGAAATGCGTACTCACCCATACAATCAGGTGTTGATTCTATACGATTTTTTATAGGAGCTTACGGTGGCTTATAATCTTACGCAAAACAAGAAACTTGAGTAGCATATGATTAATCAAGTAGTACTAATTATTAAAACTCAAAAAAAAAAAATTTATCTTTTAGCACATTATACGAAAGTTTTTGTACAATTTTTGGCATAGATGAAATATTTAAATTAAATGAACTAGAAAAATATATGTGCGCTGTAACGGAAAATGTAACGTAAAATCTATTTGGAGAGACCTCTCGTTTTTGTCTTAACCAGCGACGCCTAAATATGGAGAAGATGTGGAGTCTACTACGTCGTACTCGTACTACATGCATGCATTTTTTTAATAGAGATGCATGTATTTTTCCTCTTCAAAGTTTTCTCTCAAATTATTTATCCGATCTACAATCCAATTACACCATTGTGTTCGTTACAATTAAATCTTCATAATAAGATCTTACATGATTATGTTATGATAAAAAAATATTTATATTTATAAATTACTTTTATTATATATGTAAGTTACTTTTATCATGTATATAAGTTACTTTTAGATTTAACTAAATTACTTCTTAGACATATAAAAGTAAATTCAATAAAGTCTAAACGGAAGTAACTTTGTCACGACATTAGAAGTAAATTCGTTGTAGGGATAAAAATATGACTTCACGTCCAATGAAAAAAAGGCATTCATTAAAGTTACTTTCTTTTTTATTACAAGTTACTTCCATAATATATGTAAATTACTTTTAAGCTTTATTGAATTTACTTTTATATGTCTAAGAAGTAATTTAGTGAAATCTAAAAGTAATTTAGATATATGATAAAAGTAATTTATAATTTTTCATCAAAATATAATCATGTAAGATCTTGTTATAAAGAATTAATTGTTACGAACACAACGGTGCAATCGGATCGTAGATCGGATAAGTAGTTTAAGAGAAAATTGCATTTAAAGTATAAGGGAATAATATCTCTCTTAGATGGAGTGGTAGCTGGTTTAGACCACTAGCTGTGTAGTCACGTCCAAAAAGTAATGTTATGATAAAGGATGTGACTACACAGCAAGTGGTAGCTAGTTTGTCTAAACCACCTATCACTCCATCTATAAGAGGCACTATCCACCTATACTTCAAATACAATTTTTTCTTAAACTACTCATCCGATCTACGATCCGATTACACCGTTGTGTTCGTAACAATTAAATCTTTATAACAACATCTCACATGATTATATTTTGATGAAAAATAATAAATTACTTTTATAATATATCTAAATTACTTTTAGATTTCACTAAATTACTTCTTAGACATATAAAAGTAATTCAATAAAGCATAAAAGTAATTTACATACTACCTCCGTTTTTTAATAGATGACGCCGTTGACTTTTTCTCCCATGTTTGACCATTCGTCTTATTCAAAAAATTTACGTAATTATAATTTATTTTGTTATGGGTTGTTTTATCACTCATAGTACTTTAAGTGTGATTTATATCATACACATTTGCATAAAATTTTTGAATAAGACGAATGGTCAAACATGTAAGAAAAAGTCAACGGTGTCATTTATTAAAAAACGAAGAGAGTATACTATAGAAGTAACTTATAACAAAAAGAAAGTAACTTTAATTAATACATTTTTTCATTGGACGTGACTACACAGCCAGTGGTAGCTAGTTTATACTCCATCTAGTATATCCTTTCAACTTGAACCATGCAAAAGTTACTTCCAATAAACATTGAAGTTACTTTTAAAAATTGTTAAACTTACGTGTGTTGATCTGTGGTGATAATATTTGATTTCTAGATAAAGTCATATTTTTATTCCTACAACGAATTTACTTCTAATATCGTGACAAAGTTACTTACGTTTTGTCTTAAGTTACTTTTATAATATATGTAAATTACTTTCAGACTTTATCGAATTTACTTTTATATGTATAAGAAGTAATTTAGTGAAATCTAGAAGTAACTTATTTATATATATATATATATATATATATATATATATATATATATATAAAAGATACTTACGTATATAATAAAAGTAATTTACAAATATAAATAATTTTTCATCGTAATATAATCATGTAAGATCTTGTTGTGAAGATTTAATTGTAACAAACACAAATGTGTAATCGGATTGTAGATCGGATAAATAATTTGAGAGAAAACTTTATTTGAAGAGAAAAATGACATGGGAGAGAAAACTGTAGCCTTTTTCTTTGTGACTCTCTCTAGCAGGAATTGCGTGTGCGCGTGGTTGGAGATCGGATGGCTCTGCTAGCGTCGCGCGATAGCGCTAAAACGAGAGAGCTCTCGAATTAGATTTTACGTATCATAAAAACAAAGTCATAGGCCGAGCGTACACACACACACACAAACGTCCGCGTCCGCGTCCGCGTCCGGGATATCCATAATGGGAAAATGTGATAAGCCGAAATTGGGAAAAAGAATATTGGGCTCTCCCAGTAGACTTTTCAGAATCCGAGTAGCAGCCCACAATGCAACAGGCAAGATGAACCTCGTGGCCCAAATGAAGTGTTTTGTCTTTTTTTTTATTTGAATATCTCTACGTATAGAGTGTTCTTTTTTACGAAAAAACGTATAAAGTGTTACACCATATATTCTGTGTATATAAAGTTTCTGTTTACAAAGTTTTCAAACAGCACTGAGGTAAGTAGAATGGGGGAAACAAAAATGACCTCAAGATCGATATTGCCCTTGTTGACCCACCCATCGCCGTGCCACCAGCTGGGGCCACCGTCACCACGATGACTGTGGCGGTGATGTGTGGAGGCGACGGCGCTCGGTGCTAGGCGAGCTCGACCTGGCCGGCTCTCAGTAGAGATCCCGATGTTGAGCGAGCTCTAGAGTGTCATCTTAGCACTGGATCGTTGACATCCTCCGTCGCCTGCTGGTGCCTATCCACAACCAGCCATCCTCATTCCTTCATGCCGACTAAGCTAGGTCCCACCAGTTTCTACCTTGGTGCTATTCACCAGATGTCCCTCGTATTGCCATGGGAGCATGCACATCTACGATGACCAGAGCTCGACGAGGCAACCACGCTCAACAAAAGAGACAGTGGATGCATGGGGGCTCGATCAGGGAGTTGGAGTGCGTGGAGACAACGAAGATGGGGAGCACAACAGAGGCACTTCGCTGCTAGTAGCCGCTCACCAGGAGAAAGAGAGACAGTACTAGGGGGAGAGGTGGTGGAAGAAGGTGAGGGTGGCCATACACCAAGAGCGCTCTCGGTTTAGTACTAAGCAGCGATGGTCCAGTTGCAGTGGGAGAGAAATCTAAACTAGAGTTTAAGGCTTGGTTGGTATGGATTTGTACTAACCTATTATGTCAACGTGCATGCTTTTTATAGTACTAATCCATTAAATAAGTAGGGAAAATATTCTTATCATCTATGCTTCAAATAAAATTTTCTCTTAAATTAGTCATCTGATTTACAATCCGATTATGTTCGTAACAATTAAATGAATTGGTGAATTTTTTTATATTTTTATTTTTTAAAAAAGATTTAAAAAATAAATTACTGTTTGAAAGTTTTGCAGAATTACACTCCTCCCGCCCTCTATTAGGGTGATTTTTTAAAAATCGCCCTAATAGAGGGCGATTTATGTGACGCGGCAGCACGAGGTTCAAAAATATTTGCATTTAGTTCTTTCTCGCGCTCTAAATGTAAATTTTTTTTGCAACACATAACACGCAGCGTTTGTACTATTTGTAAAATTTTCATATGATATCGGATGAAGTTAAAGTTTACATGAAAATTGTACAGTTCGACGACAACTTTGAAGTTGATAACTTTTGCATTAAAATAATTTATGGGTCCAAATATTCTTTAAAATGTCTTAGATTTATTTTTACAAATTCTCAGATCTACATTTTAAACGACCTCAGATGGAGTCAAGCCCTATATCAAAGTTATAGAGCTCGACGAGATCTATAATTTTGTACTTGGCCACTCATTAATTTAAAACTATTTAGAGTACCAAATAATCAATATTAGTTTTCATATTAGTGAAAACACATGGGAGAGGGCTAAATACAAATATAAATATAAATATTAGGACCCATAAATTATTTTAATGGAAAAGTTTTCAACTACAAAGTTGTAAATATCGTCGAGCTCTACAACTTTCGTATAAACTTTAACTTCATCCGACATCATATGAGAATTTTACAAATTATACAAATACTACGTGTTATGTGTTGCAGAAAATTTTACATTTAGGTCCTTCTCGCCCTTTATTAGGGCAATTTTCTAAAATCGCCCTAATAGAGGGTGGGAGGAGTATATTTTTGCAAAACTTTTAAAACGGTAATTTATTTTTATAAATATTTTAAAAAATAAATATAAATATAAAAAAATATAGTTGGACAAATTTTATGATGTGACTTGTGTGACTAAGTCCTCAAACCAATTTCTCGAAATTCGTACTGCTTGGAGTTTGCTCTCATGCTACATTTTGTTCTCTCCTTTTTGAGAAATATTAAATTTGTTTCCAAGGCTGAGGATTAGGTGCTTGGTCAAGTGACAGGTACAGTGTCATTGTAAGCCAAGCCATCTAAAAAAAATGAAGATTTGCCCCCTCTGAATATCTAATAAAAAAATTGAAGACAATTTGTTTGGTGTACAACTAATAAGTGCAGTGCAGACAGCAAAAACGACAGCAACGCAAAAACTCCTCGCTCCCTCTTCCAAGATCCCAAAACCACAAACCGATCAAAACCCACACAAAAAACCGATCAAACGGAGATCAAAAAACGAAACCAAAAAAGAGAAAAATTCCCACCGAAAAAGGAGAAAAAAAAAAACCGCCGCCATCATGGCGCGCTTCTTCCGCGACTCCACCTCCTCGTCCCGCTCTAGCAGTGACCTCGCCGCCGGCGCCGACGCCTCCGCCTCCGCCGCCACCACCGCCGCCTCGTCGCGCACGCCGCCGCTCCCTTCCCCGTTTCCCGACCTCGGGGTGCCCCTCTCCGCCGCGGAACTCCGCGCCACCGCCTACGAGGTCCTCGTCGCCGCCTCCCGCGCCACCGGCGCCAAGCCCCTCACCTACATCACGCAGTCCGCAGCCTCCGCCGCCTCCGCCGCCGCACCCGCCCCCTCATTGTCGTCCTCCATCCACCGCTCGCTGGCGTCGACGGCGGCGGCGAGCAGCAGCAAGGTGAAGAAGGCGCTCGGGCTGAGGAGGTCCTCGGCGTCGTCGTCCTCCAAGCGGCGCGGGGCGCGGCGGCCGGCGACGGTGGCGGAGCTGGTGCGGGTGCAGCTCGGGGTGACGGAGCAGGCCGACGCGAGGATCCGCCGCGCGCTGCTGCGCATCGCCGCCGGCCAGGTGGGCATATCCGTCACCTGTTTGTTGAAATGTAGCATCGTTTATTTTACCTTTTTCTTTAGGTTGCTTGTTTCGGTGGCCATTGCAGTGTCGGTGGGGTTGCACTGTACTGGATCTCAGTTTGTGTTCGTGTTAGTTCCAGACTTTGACTAACCAGTGGGGATGGGACTTCAGTTTTCTTGGTTTACAGATTAGTTTATGGTTGATGTTGCAGTTGACATGTTGCGAACATTCATATTTTATCACGGGAGGGAGCGATTTTTTCTAAGTATGTTTGTTCTATGCTGATATCATGCGGGTTTTTTTTACAGTGCGGTTGCATGGATTAGTGTGTACTGATGTTGCCATGATTGCTGCTTGCTTAGTAGATTAGTATGTGTGTCCTTTGTACTAATTGTTTGGTACTAGATTGCACTCTGTACTTTAATGTTTACTTTATACAATTATAATGTTCTATATTGCTTTAGTATGGGTTTTTCTATGCGCCAGTTATGTGTGGAATGAAGTACTGATGAGTTTTCATATTTATATGGGGTCTCAGTCATGTATATAAGGTAAATCACTTCAATTATTGTGTCTGTCTGTTCTGGTGCATTTTCTCTAATGCAATCAATATGAACATTCTTATGTTTTTTTACCTTCTTTTGGCATGCATCCTTTTGTCCGTAGTGCTTTTGTAGGATCCTAAGGCAATACTCTAATACCTAAAATTGGGCGATGATGTTTTACTTGATATGTGCAAAACCTGTGGTGACGGCTTTAAATTTAGGCACCGAGCTTTGTTCCTGATGGTTCTTATACATTTCTTCTGTAACTTGTGTTTTTGTTCTGTTGTGAACTTCAGATCAATGTCTACCTGCCAAATGTGAAATGCTTCTTTACTTTTTAAATGATAGGAAATTTTTAGGTATGTTTTTGTCTGTTCTGAAATTGGTATGCCACAAATATTCTATATAGGGGAGTGAATTACATTTGTATCGAGAACGTGCTCATAGCGCGGCGGTGTCGTCCTCTGATGTAAGGCCACCGGCCAGGGCTCGAACCCTCGCTCTCACAAAAAAAAGGCCTCTTGCTGTGTACTCCCCAAAATATGTGAGTTAGAACCAGCCTTCGGGCTACGGATCCTCATGCGGGTATGAGCTGGCTGGGCCTTTTCTCGACCTTAGCGAAACGGCTTTGGAACGTCCCTCCTTTAGGGTCGAGTTTTTTTTATTACATTTATATCAGTATTAATGTGTACAGCTATTGGTAGCCATAGCACTGCCTTGTTCATACAAAACTTTTGACAACCATCTATATTATTTATAAATGAAAATTTCCACTTTAAGTTTAATTTGATCCTTTTTTTAATCCATGAAACAGCTTGGTAAACATGCAGAATCTTTGGTTTTGCCCTTGGAGTTCCTGCAGCAGTTTAAAGCATCAGATTTCCTTGATCCGCATGAGTACGAGGCCTGGCAGCTGAGGTACCTGAAGCTTCTAGAGGCTGGTTTACTGTTCCACCCACTTGTTCCCTTAAAAAAATCAGACATTTCTGCACTACGACTGCGCCAAGTAATACATGGAGCTTATGATAAACCAGTTGAAACTGAGAAGAACTCCAAACTCTTGGTGGAGCTGTGCAGTGCTGCCAGGGCGCTTGCTGGCAGATCCCTTATTGAAACTTTTGATGAATGCCACTGGGCCGATGGCTTTCCTTTGAATCTCCATATCTACCAAATGCTGATAGAAGCTTGCTTTGATAGTGAGGATGGTGCTGTGGTTGATGAGATTGATGAAGTGGTGGAGATGTTGACGAAGACTTGGCCTATTCTCGGAATTAATCAAATGTTTCACAATCTCTGCTTTGCGTGGGCACTGTTTAACCATTTTGTCATGTCAGGCCAAGCAGATATCGAGTTGCTGTCTGGTGCAGGAATTCAATTGACTGAAGTTGTAAAAGATGCAAAAACTACAAAAGATCCAGATTACTGTGATGTTTTAATCTCCACTATAAACTCAATAATGGGTTGGACAGAGAAAAGATTGCTTGCTTACCATGAAACATTCAGTGCTAGTAATATTGATTCAATGCAAGGTATTGTCTCAATAGGTGTCTCAACTGCAAAGATTCTTGCCGAAGATATATCTCATGAATACCACCGGAAAAGGAAGCAAGAGACTGACGTAGTAGTACACAGCAAGATAGAAACCTATATAAGGTCCTCACTCCGTACTGCTTTTGCTCAAGTAAGTTCCAGTTAGGAATCTGTCAAGATTGGTGGTTTCCATTAAGGAGGAATGGTGCAAAGTTACTGCAGTTTTGCTTTTATTCAGTTATTGTCGCTATTTTCCCTCACACACAATGAATGTAACTTGCGTCAACATGCCAGAAACTTGCACATGAAACACTGTTAAATAATTGCCTGATTTTTTTAATGCACATGCTTAGTTGTGGTTCTTTTAAAGTTCTATGAAACACAAGATCTTAATACTGACTGTTTGCCGCTTGTACAAATGCTTATAAGAGTTATTCTTGTCTTTTGTTTGTACTTATTTGTTCAGAAAATGGAAGAGGCTGATTCAAAGCGGTCATCAAGGCACCCTGTGCCAGTTTTGTCAATCCTTGCAAAGGCAATTGGTGACCTTGCTACCAAGGAAAAAACTGTTTACAGTCCAGTACTCAAGAAATGGCACCCACTTGCTACAAGTGTTGCAGTTGCAACCCTTCATTCTTGTTTTGGGAATGAGATAAAGCAATTTATAGCTGGGCTAACAGATCTGACACCAGATGCAGCTCAAGTGCTTAAGGCAGCTGACAAGTTAGAGAAGGATCTGGTTAATATTGCTGTCGAAGATTCTGTGAATATTGATGATGATGGCAAATTACTTATCAGAGAAATGCTACCATATGAAGCTGAAAATGTAATGGCAAACCTGGTGAAAGCATGGGTAAAAGAACGCGTGGACAGACTAAAAGGATGGATTGACAAAAATTTGCAGCATGAGGTGAACTTTACACATGCCCAACCTTTTAAGTGCAGCAGTAACGATTACTATAATTTAGTACTTTTTAATCCTTTTATAGTGTTATCCATTATTGAATACTATATGGTAGCCTTCCACACTGCTTCATCATCAGCCATAATGGCTACTACATTTTCCGTTGATGAAAGATATAAAATGCATTTTCCATGGTAAATATTGCATGTTTCATCATGCTGATTTGGTGTATCAATTATCACCATGACTGATAACAAAATCCAACCATGTGATTTATTTCACCCAGAAGTTTTGGTATCTTCATTTTTAGATTGAGGCACTAATATCCGAAAAGCAATTAGATTTTCACCCATTCTCAAATCTGTCAGAAAGCTGATATCAGTTAAATCCCAAGCACTCTATCACAGTATTTTGTGCAATGGTTTTGTAGTCTTACTTCAAAATAGAACATTCCACTAAGTTGGTGAACTACTGTGCAGACTTGGAATCCAAAGGCTAATGGAGAGAACTTTGCTCCTTCCTCGATGAAGATGATGCAGATAATTGATGACACATTACAGGCGTTTTTTCAGTTTCCCTTAACTATGCACTCCACTCTTCATTCTGATCTAGCAACCGGACTGGACAGAAATATTCAGTATTATGTCTCTAAATCAAAAGCTGGCTGTGGTACGTATTAAGGAGAACACATTTTTTCACGTACAATATACCAATGGTGAATTCTCGTTGTGTTGATTCACAGGAACCCAGAGTACTCTTATTCCCCAACTACCTCATTTAACAAGATGTGATGTTGGATCCAAATTATTCATGAAAAAGGAGAAGCCACAGGTACTTATGAAGCGTGGATCACAAGTTGGATCAACCACAAATGGTGCGTCAGTTATCCCTGAACTCTGCGTTCGAATTAATACACTCTATCATGTCCAAACTGAGTTGGAGAGCTTGGAGAAGAAGATTAAAACATACTTCCGAAATGTTGAATCAATTGACCGTAGCACAGATGAGCTGAATATCCACTTTAAGCTCTCTCAGTCAGCCTGCCAAGAAGGCATCCGACAGCTCTGTGAGACATTTGCATACAAGGTGATATACAATGATTTGAGCCATGTCCTTTTGGATTCACTGTATGCTGGTGATACTGCATCAAACAGGGTGGAGCCTTTGTTGAGAGAGCTTGATCCTATCCTTAGGATGGTATCTGGCATACTGCATAATGGTGTGCGGAACCGTGTTATAACATCATTGATGAAAGGTTCCTTCGATGGATTCCTGTTGGTGCTTCTGGCTGGTGGACCTACCCGTGCTTTCACCCTTCAGGACTCTCAGATGATTGAGAATGATTTCAGAGCCCTCCGGAGCTTGTATATAGCCAATGGCCGTGGCCTGCCAGAGGAATTAGTCGACAAGGCGTCCTCAGAGGTGAAGAACATTCTGCCACTCCTACGAACAGACACAGGAACGCTTATTGAGCGGTTCAAGCAAGCAATCTCTGAATCTTGTGGATCTACAGCCAAATCTGGGTTCCCAATGCCTCCAGTACCCGCCCACTGGAGCCCAAGCAACCCGAACACAATTTTGCGAGTTTTGTGCTACCGAAATGATGAGGCGGCTACAAAGTTCCTCAAGAAAGCATACAATCTACCAAAGAAACTTTGATTTGTCAGCAGTTTGGAAGCTTTGATCCTTTCATGTATATATTTGGTGCTTGCAAAAGATATGTTGGATTGAGTAGGGTTATGATGCTTATACATTTGAAGGATACCAACAGCAACATGCTCCGGGAGAGTTGTGCCTTCAACATGTGGCAGGCTCCATGGATGCAGACAGAGGATCTCATTTTTGAAGTGTCAAGTCCACGCTGGTCTAAAGATGCAAAGGTTACGACTTGTGAGTTTTACTGCTGGATCCGATGATTCCTGTTTCGTCTGGAGAGTTGTTTGTGCACGCGTGGGCTTGTTTTTCTGTCGCTCTATTCTTTTTAGAATTGAAGGGTTTTTTTTTAAAAGTACACACTCAAATCTGTGAATAAGCTATAGACACGCTTAAATTCTACACATACACGAGTGCTTACACTTGTTTTGTACAAATTGACTATAGAAAAAAAAAAGGGCACACGAGGGCCTATAACAATTTACTGATAATACTAATATATACTGCATGTGATATTTGAGATCACTGTGATTTGTGTGCTTTAAATGTAATCAATTTTTTTGTCATGTAATTTGGATTATGAACCAACCATAGTAGACCATTAAATAGGCTATCTTCTAGTAAAGAAAAGGGAGGTTTCTCATAATTTCATGTGACATGTGCAACTCGCCGCGGCAGAATCCAATCAAAGCGAGCTATGAATTCATCAGCCGAAACATACATATGTATCAACACAAGCATTATTTGTTTATTTCATACGGCAAGCCGTCCATCCATCTACAACAGATACCCAACATACAGTATAGTAGAGCGAAAACCATTCTCCAGCCAAAATTATAACGGTATAATCCTTCTCTAGAATTCACTTAGTAAAGGAACTACAAGAACAGGAACCATGTAGGGGATCCTCATTCAGAGATCATATGCCTCTAGTCAAATGCAAAAAATTGATCAGGCAGGCACTTGTATCACAGCCAGAGCACTTGTGACATGTTCATCAGTTGCTGGTGCTAGCTGGAAGGTAGTAGTACTGGTAGTAGACCAGGGCTCCAAGAAGGGCCACGAGCGCAGCTGCCAATGCTGCCATGGGTGCACCCCATGACCAGAAAGCCTGAGATTTCTTCCTCTTCAGGACCGCCTTCGGAAGAGGGGTCTTCGTTTTCGTCACCGTACTTCTGTGCCGGGCATTCTTTTTAATTGTGACAGGAGCTGCTGGCTCTTCCTCCTGGGCTTCGGCTTCATCAGACTTGGCATCGGATTCAGCTGCCTCCTCGGACTCGGCACCTCCAGCTGTTGCACTCCTCTTCCGGGCCTTCTTCTCCTTCTCCTGAAACAGTTAATTGCATGAATGACTGACAATATAGAACTGTAACAGAGATGAGGCTAAGATTGCATATAGAGACAGAGGAAAATAGTCACAGATAAGCATATAACGTATCTACCTTAAGCTTCTTCTCAGCTTCTTTTTCTGCTCGAGCGGCCGCTTTCATTGCTTGTTTCTCAGCCTGCTTCTTCTTCCTTTCCAGTGCCAGCTTGTTCTTTTCTATCTCTTCCTGTCTCTTCATCTCTTTCAATTTTGCTTCATCTACTTTAGGTTTTGTCTTCTCCTTTGGGGGCTCATCATCATGGACATCTGGAATATCATCAATATCAAGAGGTTGTTTTGCCTTTGCAGCTTTGGCAGGTGCTTTGGCACGAATCTCATCCTTTGGAGTAACATCTGCACGTGGAGCAGGAGCCTCCTTCGCCTGCTTCGCCGGCTTTTTCAGTGGAGCAGGCTCCTGTTCAGCAGGTGGTGCCACTTGTGTTTCGAGAACGATAGGCTTCTCATCAGGATTCCTCATTCGTCCATCTCGACTCAGCTGTCGGCTGTTGAGGGAAACGAGTATCCTCTTCTCATAATCCTCTCTAAAGGACTTGCTGCTGCACCATTGTGCCATGAACTTCTCAACCTATGTAAGAGAAACAATCATTTTGCCATGGAAGGTCGGGAACAGGCCAAGATTCAAAAGGAAACAAGAGTAAGTTATATTGCAGGCAAACCTCATTCTGGCAGAGCTGCTGCACCGCTTCTACTTCACCCCTCGCTGAAAGGTCTCTAACACTGTTTGAGATTGTGCGGTATTGATGGAAGGATGTATTCTGAATCAGAAAAATTCAGCAGATACTATCAACAAAAGTCCCATGCTCTTGTAATTAAAATAATAGCAAATAATTTACAAATATAGACACAGAAGATAAAATAAAGTTAAAAGCAGTTAAAATATGACTCTTATGTTTTTTCAGCAAGAATTAAGCGGATCAACTAGCAAAAGCTATATCCTGAACAATGTTCAAGAACAGTCATATTTACACCAACTAATTGCTAGAATCAGATTATATAACCCTGTCAAACAAAAAATTGGTTTTACATTACAGTTCAACGATAGTCTGATATACACGTGATGCATATTTTGAGAAATTTATTATGGACACATGCAATTTAGCACAGATGTGTTCCCACTGCATGGAGAAAAAAAATGAATTGTAGATAACAGTCCACACAATAGAGATGTCAGTTACTTACATTAAGATCACGTGTTTTTCTCAATTCATTTAGAGCTTCAAATGCTTTATCTTTTCTAGCAGTAGCTGCAGTGAGGTCATCTTGAAGTGCAGCAATCTCACCATCAACAGCGTGGATTTGATCTTCAAGAACCTTAATCTTGTCTCTTACAGCTTGCCTATCCCTTTTAACTTCATCAATGCCCACCCCAATTTGCTGACACAATAGTTAAAATCAAATGGAACCATTACTGAGCTTTCAGTTTCCAGTAGAACATGAAGCTATAAACACAAGGTTATATTTGGACATACTTACTTTGACCTGATCATGTATTGTGCCTCTCTCAACAACTGTATCTTGCATTTTAGCTCTCTTAGCAGCATTCTCAATAACCTTTGACCTGGTTCCATTAAGTTGTTTTATTTCTTTGACCAACCTCTTTTCCTCATCTAAGGATATGCTTTCATGAGAAATTCGGTCATTCAAGCTCTTGATCTACAGGGTAGTAAAGCAGAAAATGAGACAGACGAAGTCAAATACTGCAAAAGTTGTAGAATGAGGCATTCCAACTTTTAAGCTTACCAACTGATCAAGCTCTTCAATTGATGAGCATAAACCTGCGCCTTGTGCGCGCATAGCATTATTTTCACTACGAAACTTTCCTAAACTCTTTTGAAGAGGTTCTATTTCCTTCAATTTTCCACTCACAACTTCATTATATTGTTTATTCTCTGCAGCCAATGGCTTCAGCTCTGATATAATATTGGATCGTTCACTCTGCAGAAAAAGAATGAAGTTACCTAATTTAGATACCCATTCTCAAAGGAAATTTGTTTTTCAGTTTCCCCTAGCAATTTTATCAGCTATTATGAGAAATATCTTCTCAACACTGGACAATAAAATCAACAAGTTTAAACTAGATATTCAATTGTATGGCACTCCTAGTTAGAATTAAGAATGGCAAAAAGGTTTATTTTATTCTGTGACGTAAGGACTCAGAAAGCATACCCTCTTGGTCCTCAAAGCCTCAAAAATATGGGACCGAGCTTGAATCTTCTTCTGGCACTCCTTGTCAGCTTGTTCAAGTTTTGCCTTCAGGCTAGGATCCTCATATGAACAGATTCTAACAAAGAAGAACGTGTGAGTTTGCTTAGGTTCAGGCCACTCATCCACAACATCTTTTGGGGGTGCAAGATCAGCAGCACTTGTGGCTCCATTTGCAGTAACAATGTTTTCCAAACCAAAAACAGCTGCCTCCCCACGCTCCTTGGCAGTAGCCCTACTTTCCTTATCTTGGAAAAGGTTATCTTCTCCATCAACTGCTGTAACCTGTGACAATGTAGCTTCAGCACCAGTGGCCTCCATTTCTTGATCCTGAAAAATAGCTACAAGAGTGCAGTCAATAGACAATACAGTTGCATGAGCATTACCAACATTTTTACTTCAGAGAGTTGACAGAATTGAGTGCACAGAAAGTGTTGATACTCAAGGAGTACCAGATGGTAAAATGCTAAGAGTAACTACTAGCTAAAATTAGGTGGTGATAAACACAAGGTAGTTATCAAAGGCACAAACCATTAGTGAGCTCATCTGCAGACAAAGTAAGGGTACCATGCATATTTTTACTTGCATCAAATTTTTGGTTTATTGAACGTGTATCCCCCATCCAAATTAATGAACACACAACTGAGGATGGATACAAAATTAAGTTTCAAGAAATTCCAGTTTTGAAGATACCAAGGAAGCACCCAAATTGCTTTGTTCTATGCCACTGTCATATTGGCCTAAGTGTTACAATTAAGTTAAGAGTGCAATAGTGCATCAAAGCCCAAAGCAAACTGTTATATGAACCCTGAAAGGAGGAAATGTTTGTGTAGTCTGTAGACATCACCATCCAAAGCCTAGGCCCTTTGGACTGAGTCGCTGATCCATTTGGACTGAATCCCTGATCCATTTCAAATACCAAGCTACAATTGAAGAGATCCCCAAGCAAACAACAGTGCCATCTAATCACTAAATCAATTGCCAGATTAGAGCAATAATCCACCCAATATTACGGGCTTAACAATTATTTTCAAAATTGAACACTGCTAATACACAAATCATACTGATCTCGCACAGATAGCATAGATCAGGGGAAAAGGAACAATAAAAGAAGGCATAAAAAGATAATATTGGTCACCACGTAAGCGAAGATGCTGATCTAGTGGTGGCTCACCTCACCAAAACATAGAACAGAAATATATCTGCTTGGATTTGGATGAAGCATTTACAAGTGAATTACTTTTGGTAATATTGGAGAAAAATACCACATGACAGTGCAGCCTAATCTTATCTTCAAGAATGGTGGCCCAGAGGCAGACCAATAATTGGTTCAGTTCATAGTTCATATACTTCAGATACCATTGGCAAGTTGGTACAGGTAAACGCAGGAGGCTTCACGTATGCAACGCGAGTAGTATCTGTGGTTAGGTTGGAATGGGAACGAGTACACAAGAAAGTATACAACACCCCTGAATTCTACTTGTGTTCAGATCTAGTTCAGGGCCAAGTTGTTGTCTTCCCTTCTTTGGCCCCTGTGTGTTTTCAGTTGTCAATGTCATCCACCTAATTGACTTTACTTTCTGGTCATATTTGGATGGCCAATCCAGAAACAAGAATAACAATGCAAAAGATAACAGCATGTTAATTAGCTGCAATAATGCAACTTCTGGGCTGTACTAATCCTTACTTGAACTACTGCTTTCTAGTTCTACATCACATCAGGCAGACCATCACTAACCAAAAATCAAAAAGTACCACATGAAAATGAGGCGGTGGAAGATGCATAATAATTAGAGGCCCCTCAAAAGATGCAAGTGAAAGAAATAATGCCATAACACACTTCTCACCAAGTTGGACATGATTGTCCAGACTACAGAAAAGCAACTAAGAATCTGTTTCAATTCATTTAACCTACCATGAGCACACAATCCTAATTCCAAGCCTAACGCTTAGCCACAGGTGCATCAACCTTAGGCCCCTAAACACTGACCTACACCTAACAACTGCATAGTTGCAATCACACAAACAATCTACCCAGATATGTAATTCACGATCCGTAAGTTCATAACACCCTTAGCATCAACCAATTAGTGTTGAACATACCTAAAATGCACACAACATGCCAAATGAATAGCAAAAATCAGGAAAAAGAAAAAAGGACACATCACCAGAGAAAACGAAGCAAGACAGCATGATCTAATACCGGTGATGCTGCACAACACTATCTCACCAGCAATATGGATGAATTCCAAATTGAATTAAATGGGACAGGTAGATGTGTATTTATGGAAGTTTTCTTCCCTTGTTATTTATTGATATCTCCTCATGGCTGCTGCTGCTGCTGCTGCTTTAATTCTTCCACCGATTTCCTTTCTCAAGGTCAGAGAGGAAGGAAAATGGTGTGCATACAACATTGCTGGCAGCCTGGCACAGACTGCAGAGTGACAGGTCGGTGTTGTGGCACGTCTCGGGAGGAGACACCGAGGCACCATACAGCTCCTTTACGCGCAGGCTGATGTGATCATACGCCCATCCTGGGTGGCATCAACTTACTGCTATGTACATGTTTCCTTTTATGGGATTGTTTGGCCATATACAATGTGCGTGTCAAAAGAGTGCCAAACTGCAGCTCTTTCTGGATGAAGCATGGACATGGTATGTTCATCGCAGTTGCATTATTACTGGTTAAGAGATACTAGGGGAACTGTAGGATTTACCACTCCAAAGATTGACAATTCAGGATTCCCCACTTGATGTCTCACTGATGCGTGGGCCTAGATCAGCGTGGCATCAAGTAACATGTCCCACGATGTGCCTCAAATTGACATTGCTAGATTTTTTTTCCTAGATTGGGTGAAAAAAATCCTAGATTTTTCCCAAAATGACATTGCCTCAAATTGGCACGCGAGGCCATAAATTGAGTGACAAAAAAACCTAGATTCTTTTTCCCGAAATGGCATTGCTAACTCTATATATACTTGACCATCCAAACCGTAGGTCCTTCAGCATATCCATTCCACCTACCAGATGTTGTGTAATTCGGAACCTGAACCTGAACCTGGGTGGAATACAATCGCAATTACCGGACAATGCAGCAGAGATTATCGAGTCAAAGCTAACCAAACTATCTAGCTGCTAAAACCCATCATCTCCAATCCCAAATCATCGCCTTTCAAGGCTCCAACCTCCACAAGCTCATCCACTAGTACACCAAAAACCATATAATAAAAAAAAAATTATGCATCTAAATCCCCCGAGTTGTTAACTGTATAGTAAGAAAAAAAAACATGAACACGGAGAGGGATACAAAGGCAAAAATATCCCTCACAAGAATTAAGCCAAGGCGCCGCGATCCAGCGGTGGCTGAGCTGAGCCCCCAAAAATTTTCCCTTTCCCTTTTCTGTGGAAACAAAAGAACTGATGCGTGTGGCAAAGAGAGAGAAAGTTCCAGATCTAGAAGAGAAGCTAAGGCTAAGTCAAAGAAACCAAGTTGTAGGTCTAGAGAGAGAGAGAGAGAGAGAGAGAGAGAGGTGAGAGGATGTGCGTGCGGGTGCTCACCGGCGGCGGGAGGAGGGCGGCGGCGGCGGAGATGGAGAGCGGAGGCTGCTGGTGCTGGGCGCCGGCGTCGAGCAGAGTGAGGAGGAGATGGAGATCGAGAATGGCGAAGTTCGGGAAGGGAGCAACAAGTCAGAGAGAAGCGAAGCCAGCCAATTCACGCTGGATGGGTTGGGCTGGGCTGGTGGCCCATATGTTATTAACTCCTCTATCTTGGGCCGCCGCTGAGGTCGTCGCATCTCCTCGATCCCAACAGGGGACGGGGCCCGGCCCAGCTTGATGACTCGCCGCCTCCCTCTGTGGCCGATCGCAGCGACCTGCCGATTTTTTTTTCATTTTAATTTTTTTTTAATATTTACAGAAATATTATACCCGCAAAAATATTTACAGAAATAAATCCTGCCGCCTAAGTGGAGGGCACGGCGCCATGTGCGCATTTTGTGCTGAGGCCCTTGACCACCCTCTGTAAGGGCGGCAAGGGGGTGAAATGGATTTTTCACCGCATGTGATTTTTTGTAAATGTTTTCGCTGGTATAATATTTTTTAAATATTAAAAAAAAATTAAAATGAAAAAATTTCACGACCTGCCCTGCCCCGGTTGAATAGCTCTCCTCCCCTGTGGACTCCGACACCGATCATTGCCTCCTTCTCTGAGGGTCCCAACAAGAAGAGACGCAATCGACAATCGTTGCTGTGTGCCCGTGAGTTGGAAAGGAGAGGGGAGAAAGGAATAGAGAAGTAATAGTGCAAGATGCTAACGTACGGGCCCCACATACTAACTAAACAAGCCACATCAGAGAAAACCACCAAGTAAGCCATTTTTCATCGGTTTTAATAATTGGGTCAGGATATAACATTATAGTTGAGGGATACTAATCAAATTGCACATATAGTTGAAGAGTCGACTAATTCCATGGTCAGGTATGTTCTTTTCTCCCCCTTTCCCAACTTGTAAATTCTCATTTTTTTTTCACGTATGCTTCCCAAACTGCTATTGGTGTATTTTTCACAATAAATTTCTATGGGAAAGTTTTTTAAAAGATTATATCTGATGAACCGTGAGTTCCTTTCGACACTCAAGGCAGTTGTTTGGCCCGATCTTTCGGTGAGTTGATGATAACTATGATTTGTGGAAAAGACGTTGACGACCCGACTACAACCGTACAAGACGTTGCGTTGCGCCTTAGCGATCGATACACCTCTCCGTGGGTTGTTGATCTTGCCGGTGCAGATCAACCCTATTCCTGCAAGCAATCGAGAACAAGCAAGAACAAGATAGAAAGCAACTGAATTGCTAGATAGACAAGACGCACAAAGATAAATTGATACACGATAAAGTGGGGTTCCGAACAAGTAGACGGATGGTCTAGCCGACACGCGCGCTGCAAGCGAAGTAGCAATGGCTAAACTTACAATTAATCAAAACCCCCAGAAATCCTGAAGGGGTACCTAGCTATATATAGGGGTGGGAGGACGACCAAGGACACTCTAGGGTCGTGCTCCACCTGGTTGGGGCGCACCCCACTTGGGTCCCACTTGGGCCGGGGTCCTAAACGAAGTTACAAGCCCATAGGCCCATTATAGGTGACGCAACACCTTGTGCCTGTGATTCCGGCCACACGAGATGGAATTCGGAGATGAGGCTGGATCCGTTGGAAAGAGGGCTCTGAGAGCTTTCCATCAAGTACTCACGGGCCGAAAATGGAGGTCGTATGCAGATTCGGCGGCCGTTTGAAGTCAGCAGTGTAGCAGGTGGCCGAATCGGATTCCAGCACTTGGACGATGTGATCTCGATATCTTCTTGTTCATCCATGATGTGAGCAATGGTTGCATCCGTGGTAGCCATGGTCACATCATCCTCCCCTTCTTCACGGAAAACCGTCCTCGGTTTTTCCATATGGTGCTCTTTGCGTAGTCCATTTACAACAACCTGTTTCTTCCAATCAAAACAAGGCAAACTCGAGACAATTTGGTTAGCAATAACATTTCTCTCTAGCTTGTTTGTTTTATCCACATGTACAGGAAGTTCTAAATCTGAACAGATGTAAACTCTATGCACAAAATATATTCCAAGATCATTATATTCGCCAAAGATGTGAAATATAACATTGGTTGGATATGGCAAATCAGACTTAGCAAATAATTTCTCCTTCAAATTATCGAGCTCACAAAAATCATCAAACTGAACATAGCCCAAAGTATTTAAAGAAGATCTCAATTCACGCTCCTCTACTTCATTAGCAATGTGAGCAACATGCTTAAAATCAGCGCAGTATGAATTAACAGTAGGAATAGCATGTTCATTCACTAGTTGTGGCATGGATATAAGTGAAGTACTATCGCACAACTCTTCTTTATCACAAGGAACAGAATGCAAACCAACCTGTGACAAAGGCAATTCAGAAGTAGGTTCCACTAAAGTTTGCTCTAGGTCAGCATGGAAAGTGGAAAAATGTAATTCATCAGAAGCATACTCACCTTGAGTAATTTCTGCACCATTTAATTTACCTTTTATGCCCTCTTCAGATAATGCAGATGCATCAGCCTTCTCCTCATTCGCGAGTGATGGAAGTGACATCTCAAACATATCGTTCTTCTCATTTTGGGGATTGTTCTGAACTTCCTGCAAAACATCAGCGATAGGAGGCACACGCATAGCTTGTTGCTCCGTTGGTTTCTCTAAAATTTTGCGCTCAACATTGCAAGCAAGCATAAACAATTGGCCTATATGATTATATGTCACATTAACAAGCCCAGCCTGAATATTAGAATTAAGCCCTCTGAAAAATCTAGTCATTGTGTTCTCATTAGATTCTTGTAAACCACTATAAGTGATACAAATTTTAAAATCATGAAAGTACTCCCTAATAGTTTTGTCACCTTGTTTTAGATGTTCAAATTTCTCAAGGAGAGCACGTCTATAGTATGAAAACACAAATCTTTTTCTCATTAGTATTTTGCATTCATCCCAAGTTTCAAGCTTATTTCCCACAGTATGCCACCAAAAAGATGCAGAACCGGTACACTTATTACTAGCAGCCTTAATCATTTGAGCATTAGAGAAATCATACTCATCAAATTGTTTTTCTACTGCTAGCTCCCAATTAATGTATGCAGCGGAATCGTACTTCCCATCAAAAGATGGCAAAACAGACTCCACTCTTGCAAGATTATGATCATGTACCTTATTTGCGTCATGCTGGTCACTTGCCATGTGTTGTCGCAAGTGAAAATGTCCACATTGAGCACGAACAGCTCCAAACTCTTTGTGTAACCCTGCCATAGTTAGTAGCAAACAAGAAACATATACAAGAATATATACGTTCCTATCAACTACTAGGTAGTGGAAGCTCACAAATCACACACACTCTAGCTTTACATCGAGCTCTTACAAGTTCTTACCAATGCAAGCGGAATGGTGACATACACCGACTCAACCAAGCACCCCAATGGAGGTTGGATGTATCGATGCCTTGGCAAACACTTGCTGTACGGCTGCAATCAAATCTGTGGAGCTCTGGGTAGGCTTAAATATGTTGCAAAGGAATAGCAAATGCTCAAATCAGAGAATGCAAAGTTGAGTAATTGTTCAAAGTCAAGTACCGTACTGGTCCTAGGCTAGAACGTACTAGAGACGCAAGCCTAGACACAAACGATACCACAAGATAGCACTAGGAACAACTCATGCACAACTCTGATATATGAAGTTCAGCTCAAACATAACAGTATTTTCTCTTTTCTTTCTTTCTTCTTTCTTCTTTTCTTTTTTTTTCTTTCCTTTTCTTTTCTGTTTTTTTTGGTGCGGCTTTTTCTTTTCTTTTCTTTTTTTTTCACCTTTCTGCCTTTTTTTTCTCACTTTTTTCTTGATTTTTTTAACAAAAACTGACTCAAGGACCTTAATGTAAGGTTACAGGGACTCAAACGTAAATATAAAATTTACAGGGACTCAAATGTAAAAGTCTAAACCCAAATTAAAATTATACAAAAATGGAATGTTGAATTTATGCCGGTTCCGTTTTTCCAAACAGATCTCGAAACTGACACCAAACAAAAATTCGCCAAGGTGTTTGACACAACTCGGAACCGTGAAAGAGAGGGAGGGAGTCGGACTCGGCCAAAGGGGCGAGTGGGACTCGGCCAAGAGGTGGAGTGGATGGCAGCCGAATTTGGTGTATGGGATAAAAAGGAAACTGATTTTTAACCAATCCAATCTACTATATCTTTCCAAAACAAACTTGACTACTTCCAAAATCAGATATGGTAATTCACCTTCCTCCTCTCGTGCACGACACAGGCACGGCCAAAACAAACACACACAAGGATTGGCAAACTCTAGATGCAACTCAAGAACTCCAAAACTAACCGACAGAAACTTCTGAAAACTACAAAAATAGAATCGTGGCAGCGAGCCGATTCCGTTTTCGTAGGTCCCGACAACAACAGAGACACGGTGGCAGCGACGACTGTGGTACAAAACGTGACCAGAACTCGAAACTCTAAACGAACTAGACGCTAAGACCAGCAACACGACGTGACGATGCAACATAAAATTCAACAAAGCAAAAACTGAAAAGAACAATGCAATGGCACAATATGGCTAGGTAAATGATACGAATTTTTTTGTATGGCTATTTTCTGGTTATAGGAAGATAAAAACTCACCGAGCAACGAAAGCTCTGATACCACCTGATGAACCGTGAGTTCCTCTCGACACTCAAGGCAGTTGTTTGGCCCGATCTTTCGGTGAGTTGATGATAACTACGATTTGTGGAAAAGACGTTGACGACCCGACTACAACCGTACAAGACGTTGCGTTGCGCCTTAGCGATCGATACACCTCTCCGTGGGTTGTTGATCTTGCCGGTGCAGATCAACCCTATTCCTGTAAGCAATCGAGAACAAGCAAGAACAAGATAGAAAGCAACTGAATTGCTAGATAGACAAGACGCACAAAGATAAATTGATACACGATAAAGTGGGGTTCCGAACAAGCAGACGGACGGTCTAGCCGACACGCACGCTGCAAGCGAAGTAGCAATGGCTAAACTTACAATTAATCAAAACCCCCAGAAACCCTGAAGGGGTACCTAGCTATATATAGGGGTGGGAGGACGACCAAGGGCACTCTAGGGTCGTGCTCCACCTGGTTGGGGCGCACCCCACTTGGGTCCCACTTGGGCCGGGGTCCCAAACGAAGTTACAAGCCCATTGGCCCATTATAGGTGACGCAGCACCTTGTGCCTGTGATTTCGGCCACACGAGATGGAATTCGGAGATGAGGCTGGATCCGTTGGAAAGAGGGCTCTGAGAGCTTTCCATCAAGTACTCACGGGCCGAAAACGGAGGTCGTATGCAGATTCGGCGGCCGTTTGAAGTCAGCAGTGTAGCAGGTGGCCGAATCGGATTCCAGCACTTGGACGATGTGATCTCGATATCTTCTTGTTCATCCATGATGTGAGCAATGGTTGCATCCGTGGTAGCCATGGTCACATCAATATCAATTCATTTTATAAGTTTTTTTAAGGTAATACTTAATTAAGCATAAGCTAATTTGTGGCTCCCGTTTGCATACTAGAGGTGCAAGGGTTTCCAACCTCTTTAGAAGAACACATCCTTTAAGAGTAGCATAGATACATGGCCATACTCCCTATGTTAAGAAAAAGCCAACTTTTAGACATAAGCTATGTCCAATTCGTAATGGAAGTTGTTTTTTTCCACGCCTGCCTGACCTGAGCCACGCCTCCGCGCCGCTGGCCTCACCTCACCTGCGCTGCCCTCCCGACGCCGCCGACCACGACATCCTCCTCTTTTTCCACGCCGCCGTCATCGACTCTGCCTCTGACCTCGACTTCCTCCAGTCGTCCACTGACTCGCCTGTCCGTCAGTCGCTCCTCCTCCCATCGTCCACAATCGAATCTCGTAGTCGCTCCCCCCTGCAGCCGCAAGCGCTGCTGATCCGCCTTCATCGCTCCTCCTCGCCTGCATATCCCCTCTCCCCATCGCCCCTCCCTTCCCCACACCCCCGCCTCCATCTATTCCTTTTGCATGCCGCCGCAAGAGCTGCAGCCGCCGACGATCCGGGCGTCGTCTCTCTGTTGTCAAAATACCGGGACGCCTCACCCTGTACGCCGCAGCCAATCCGTAGCATGGTCCGTGTTACGGACCGGCGACGGCGAGGGTGGTCGCGCTTGCGCCGGTCATCAACGGGTCTGCTGCCACGAGCGTCCCGGTGCTCGTCGGCCACTAGCGCTCCGTGGCCGTGCTTAGTCTCCGCAACTGTGGCTTGTTGGTGAGTCCATTTTCTCTGACAAGAATGTTAAGAGTATATGTATATTAGTTAAGGGCATTTATGTCTTTTCCCATTGTACTAAGTTTATATGCTCCTATGAGCTAAATCCAATGCAACAAGTTCAATCCCCATTTCTTCTCTTCCACTAAAGTTAACATGGTATCAGAGCACTGGGTTGCTTGATCCAATCTCCATCTACGTTCTCAGCCACGCTGCCCCTGGGAGGGAAAATCTTGCTTCCCAGGGGCGGCCTCGTCGATCTGAGCATCAAGCAGGAGCAGCAATTTTGGGTCAATCATCAAGCAGCAGCATAAGCCCATCGTCATGGATGCAGCAGCCTGAGAGCAACAACAGCCTACTGCCTAGCCTCTACCTCGTCATTCATCATCCCTCTTCAGGTCCAAGCAACAACATCAGCACGCCATCATCAAGCGCAGCAAATAGATCCAGTCATCCAAATCCAACAAGCAAATATCAAGCAGCAAGCAGTCAGCCGGCGCACCTTTGCCCTCCAGATCGAGGCCAGCCGGTCCGGAAAAAAATCTGGTGCAGACCGGATGCAAACAGCAGTCCGTGCAGCCCCGACGCGGATGCATGACGCGTGGATGGGGCGCTCATCCGACGGCCGGCCCACACAAGCGAGTCCGCATCGCACCTAAATCTCAGCTCGGCTCAAGAGCGATCTCAACACACCACAACTCGGCTCGCGCTCGCTCCGATCGGCTCGATCTAGTCCGAGATGCAGTCATCGTTCCCCTCCGCCTGTTTCTTATCCCGTCGCCCCTTTCTCATCCGCTGTTGGGCGCATGGAGATGGAATGCGGCGGCGGCTCCCTCGGATAGCTAGGGCAGTGGCGGCGCCCTCCCGTGCCTGGAGCAGGGCAGTGGCGGCGCCCTCCCATGCCTGGAGCAGGGCAGCGACAGTGGAAGGGCCAGGCGACACCCTCCCGTGCATTGAGTTTCATAGTTTGATTGCTCGGTTTTGGTTTTCATTGCGGTAATTAATCATGGTCACTAGATTCTGGTTTGATTGCTCAGTTTTGGTTTTCATGTGATTAGGTAGTAAGCCTAGCATATATCATTGCAGCTTGATAGTGTTAATTAGTACTAGTTTGAGACAATCGGATTTTGTTTTGCATAAACAAAACAGACATTCTGTCTTGGCAACTCGCTCGGTGCCTGGCCGACCAATCATCATATCAGTAAAATTGTTGGACATTTTGCTAAGTGGGGTAGTAGGCTCACATCAAAATTGACTAGGAAAATCTGAAACTTGAGTATCACACTGAATAAATTGCATAGTGGAGGAGTAAGATATGTTGCATGTTGTATATTCAGCTGTGACACTTCCACTGAAAATAGTTGAAACAACTAGAGAAACATAAGGCTTTGGCTTCCTCCTGACAAATCTGAACTGAACCACCTGGTGGCTTCTCTTTTTCTGTCACTACAAGACAGAGCCAAATCTGAACTGAACCACATTTGGTTTCCCTCTTTTTTCTTTTATATGCACTACATGACATCACAATCAGTTGCAAAAATCAGATACATGTTCTTGGCACACTTGGCAGCTGGCAACTTCCGCTTTTGTGCAGGAGGCCAATGCAGAATTGCAGGTGAGATATATGGGGTGCGGCATGAATGGCAATTGAAGATTGGAAGAGCATGAATGAGAGGATGCTGAAGAAATGACATAGAACAATCAATGACAAGATAATGAATGTAGCCTTTCTTTGTAATTCCTACTATGTAGTATATACACTATTAGGAGTTTGTAAAGATTCAGAACACCTTGTATCCTGAGAACTAGTTTTGCCAGATGTCAAGTTATCCTGAGAACTATTGTAACCTTGTGCAAAATACAAAAGAGAAAAATTGATTGCCTAAAAGGATGGTAAATACAGCAGGCAGAAGTGGATGGTGCTAAAAGGATTGTAGTTTGATGAATGTAGCCTTCGCTGTTAATCCATACAATGTAGTCTGTATACTCTTAGGAGTATGCAAGGATTGTAGTCCATATGCTGTAAGTTTGGACCGCATTTTTGGTCAAATTGCAAGGAAACTCAGATCGCTATGTAATCTGTACAATGTATTTCTTTTATTTGAAATACATATGGCATGTTGGATGTTCTGAAATCTGCAATGTGATTGATGCCTTGAAAATTTTGATTATTCATCTGATTCCTTTCAAAATAAAATATGAAATATTGTGTGATCTGAAATCCTGAAGTTCAAATCTAGAATGTGATGTCTAGAAGCTGGTCTTTCAGAAACAATGTAGATAATTCATATCTCATACATAGCTATCAAATTTATGGATAGAACTGACAGCGTCAATGATAGTTTAGTGTAACACGATGCAAAATGAAAATAAAATATAGTGCAACATGGTAAAAGAGTACAGGTTCATGGATACACCAAAATCTATTAAAAAAAGCCTACTCATTGTAGGTTGAGCCAAATGCTATTAATTGAAATGTAACTTTCTAGCAGCCATGGCTGAATCTTGCTGAACTCCAAATAAAAGACTTGTAAATCCGCCTTGGATTAAAGGAGCATCCATGGTCGAGGATTGCCCAAACCCATCATATGCAGCCATTGTCGAGGATTGCCCATACACATCATATGCAGCCATGGTCGAGGATTGCCCACACACATCATTTGCAGCCATGGTCAAAGATTGCCCACACACATCACCAACATCTTCATCTTCATCTTCTGATGCATTATTTAGATCTTCTCCTATATAGTTCAAACATACAAAATATCAGAGTATAAAAAAATTAATTATACAAGCATACAATGGGAATAAACATGCCGGAATGGATAGGATCAGCACCTTTATTCTTAGCAGTTTTTGTTTTCTTCCGTTTCTTCTTTTCAACTGCATCTTTTGATCGTCTACTCTTTGGGCCTTTGACCACTCGAGGAACTCTAATTGATATTGCACCATTTAATGTGTCCATAACACAGTCATTTGAATTTAGAGGAACCTCACATGTTTTTTCTTGCATCTTGCTTAGAGAACTATCTGCCTCCAAGTCCAAATTATTTATGGCTTTCTCCAAATCATCAAGAAGTTCTTTCGAAACTGAACATTTCAAAGCGATGGATGTTGCCTTTTGAGAGATACGTGCAGCATGTGTTTTCAAAGTTTCCTTCTCACTTCCTTGTTTATCAATATTAAATCCTTTTTTTTGCATATTTTGTCCACCTGTTGAGTATATATTGAGATGGCATAGTGAAAACTTCATTCATATTGAAGACTCTGAGGGCATGCTTGCACAATATACCTATAAGATGTGGATGCCATTTTTCAGATGTTTGTATAAAAAAATTATAATGCGATTTAAAGTGTGCATACATACCAATGGACTCGTACTTTCTGCAAGAACATGTAATGGTCATATCCGCAGTGTTATACACAACTGTTGCTTCCTGATCTGATTCCATGGGCATAACCATGAATGTCAATATTGACCCTTCAGTTTGCAACAACTTACATGATAATGAAAATTGTTTTGTAAACTCCTCTTCAAACTCTGAATACATCTTCCTTGTATATGAGTCAGCTGCGGTCTTCAACATAGGTAAATTTGGGATGCAAGTAACGGGGCTCGAGTTTCTTGACTTAAAATCTGCATCCAACTCATTTTCACGAAGACTGGCAGCAACCTTATCACATTCTACAAGGAGCTCAGAAAGACCAAGTTTCCTACGAAATCTTTTCTTGAAGACATTATTCATACCTTCGCTCCTTTGAGTCGAGGTCATATCAGCTGTAAAAGAGTCACGAAAGACAATAGCCCACTTTTTCTTCAACCTATATAGATTTGACATCCATACGTTATCCTCAAGCTTGTATTCACTCCACAATTCATGCCACATCTTGTTGAAATGATACTCCGATCTCTCCTCATAGACACATCTCTTAAAATCAGTTAGAAACTTGTTAGGATGCTTATGAATGACATGACCAAGATTTTTACCACCATTTAGATAAATGTGCCACAAACAAAGACGATGTCTTGTGTTTGGGAATACTAAAGCAATTGCTGCTGCCATGGCCGTGTCTTGATCAGTGAAAATTGTGCTTGGATGCTTTCCTGACATTGCTGTTAGAAAAGTTTCAAAGAGCCAAACAAATGATTCAATAGTTTGATTAAATAACAACGCAACACCAAAAATTACCGTCTGCTTGTGATGGTTGGTTCCAAGGAGTGGAGCAAAAGGCATTTCAAACTTATTAGTATCAAATGTGGTGTCGAATGACACAGCATCACCAAAACAGGAGTAATCCATGATAGATTGACCATCTGCCCAAAAGAAATTAGCTATCCGACCATCTTCCTTGTCTATTTGGATGGCGTAAAAAAATGCAGGATCCTTTAATTGCTTATTCTTCAAGTATTCCAACAGTGTTTGTGTGTCATTGGATTCTAAGTACTTCTTGCATTCGCGACCGATCTCATTATTGCAATCCATCTTTGAGAATGGTACTTTGTCAGCTCCTCCATACCACTCCTTCATGAACTCATACACTTGCGCTGGTTTCATCCCGGCTTCCCTTATTTGGCCAATTAGCTGCCTATCTGCTTCTATAACACGCCGTTGGGACCTCAGCTTGTGCGACTTATTTGGACTAACAAGACAATGGTTGTGTTCAAGTACAACTTTTTGCACTGTCCAAATTCCCTTTTGACAAATACTAAACTGAACACGAGCATCACAACTCGTCCTAGTAGTGTCTAGTGATGACTTAGTCTGTCGTTGTCCTTGGTTACTACAAACTATATATTTCTGGTATATAGTTCCATCGACTCGGTGCTTTGCTTGGCTCTTTCTAATACTGAACCCAATCTTCCCGGCATAGGTGTTGTACATATCATACGCTTTCTGCTCTCAATCAAAAGCCATTCCAACTTGAGGCAAGATCAAAGTTTGTGCAACTTTATCATTGGCCTGTTGTACGATAAATGAGTTATATTACCACAGTATGAAATATTCTGTTTTCCATCGAATTTGCTATTAAATTATCGTTACCTGATTTGGTGCTTTATCTGCCATCTCTTCAGGTACTATGCGACAGAGTGTGTTGTCATCACCATTAGCGTTGGCATCGATAGCGCCGGCAACATCTTCTTCCATGGTCATAAACTCGGAGATCTGTGCAAGATGATCATGCACGATATGATCACACATCGGTACGTATTAGCCACACATCAGTATTTGCGATGAGGGCATGAAAGACGATCACTCACGATCATGCATGCATGTACTGATGAAAAAGCATGAGTCAATTAGCTAGGCAATGTACCTGCGTTCTCTGCTTGCCATCGGCTCCACGATCCCCAACGATTACATCGTGTTCATGTGAAGATTGTCCTGCCATGTCGTGCGCTACGGCAGGCAAAGGCTGCACCAGATGAGACGACGGCACCAGAAGCCCGGCGACGCCTGTGCTCTTCTGCTGGACTCCTCGTCCTGCCATGTAGCGAATCTGTTTCGCTCTAATCGTCCGCCTCTAATCACGCCCTACCCAATCTAATCCTAAGCCGCGCAAGCCGAGCTGAGGGAGAACGACCTGAGCCGAGCCGTGCAGGATGCGGACTCGCTTGTGTGGGCCGGCCGTCGGATGAGCACCTCATCCACGCGTCATGCATCTGTGTCGGGGCTGTACGGACTGCTGTTTGCATCCGGTCTGCACCAGAATTTTTTCCGGTCCGGAAAAAATCCGATCCCGTTCCGGTCGCAGCCATCGCCTATCGCGGCGCCGCATCGCTTCTCCACCGTTGCAGCCTGCCACCCGTCGTGGCAGATCTCGTCGTCGTCCGTCGCGGCTACTCCTGAGTCCTGTAGCCACGCGCCATCCTCGCTGCCGGGGAAGACCGTCGGGGCGTCCAATCCGCCGTCGACTGCTGGCCACCGCGTCGATCTACTCCGTCCCGGCCTCGCCTTCTCCGTCGCGGCAGCGGCATCGCTGCCCATCGCGGCTGCTGCCCATCCATCCCGCACTTGCCGTCCATCACAGCCGTCGTGAGTCCACAGCTTGCGTGTTGCAGCTCCATCCTCACTGCTCACCGTGCTGCAGCCTCTGCTCCACTCTGCTACAGTGCTACTGGTGGTAACCCTCTATTTCTCTTTAAACTGCTACGGCTCATTCGTCATTAAGCTGCCACTAATCAAGCTCGTGGTAAATCAAGCTCATCTTTGCAACTGCCTGTTGCTGCGAACCTTTGTGCTTTGGTCGAATTCATACAGCGTGTTGGCTTTTGCTGTTTTGGAGATAATTATGTCTGCTTTTGTAGTGTCTTTGCTGCTGCTATAGCATCATTCCTTTGCTAATGTCTTTTGCTAGTATCCTAAGTCATTTACTAATAGATCAATATCCTCGACGAATCAATTTCTTATGATTTCTCTTGAGTCCATCAAAGCCTACTGCATATCCTTCAATTTGTCGAAGTCGTGCTAGTCTATCATTTCCCTGACTTCTCATTGGTGTCAGTCCTCGTCATCATACCATCATTACCAACTCTCTATCGGAGTTAGTCTATCACGCCATCAGCATCCCATTGGAGCTGGCATCATCATCAATCAGTGAAGGACCGAAGAACAATTTGTGAAGGTCCTTCATCATCACCATCATCGTCGTCATCAGATCTATGAAGGTCCGAAGAACATTTTGTGAAGGACCTTCCATCATCGTCAATGTCTCTGAATCAATGAAGAGCCGAAGAACGGTTCGTGAAGGCTTCAAGGTACCGAGGGCCGAAGAACAGTTTGTGAAGGCTCCGAGGTCCACTTCATTGAGGAGGAGATGGATCTTTTCTTCTTCATCGTCATCATCCAAAAAAAAAAAAATTGCACACTTCGACGACATCTTCAAGCATGGACTTTGGATTTATCCTAGTGTGTCATTAATTTAGTATTTAGTTTCAAATGCAATGTGTATGTGTTAAGAGTATATGTATATTAGTTAAGGGCATTTATGTCTTTTCCCATTGTACTAAGTTTATATGCTCCTATGAGCTAAATCCAATGCAACAAGTTCAATCCCCATTTCTTCTCTTCCACTAAAGTTAACAAAGAACATAAACATGATTTCACAATTTAGTGCATTACTGCTCTGAAACGAGATTGTTTGCTTTTATTTCGTTTAATCAAGGTTCATTTTCTTTGCATAAACAGTTTTCCTGCGGCTGGATAATGTACTAGAGTAAGCCATTTGGAAAGAACTTGGACTCTGCACAAGAAGAATTCAGCGCCCAACTTGGGGAGTTATTTCAGGAAAACCAACTCTACTGATTTGGTCAGTACTTAGGAAAAGAGTTGGTCCACAACCTGGTAATGTTTATAAACTTATAATTTATCAATAATATGATATATTTAGAATTCCCCAGAATACTTGACTAACCACTTCCGACATAATTTCACATTTCACATTGGTAGGGGTCTGTTTTGCCAGCCGCTTGTTAGGGCCTATTTGGAACCGTGACAAAATTGATAATATATAGATTCCAATAAACAATTCCAATTTGTATAAACTGCAGTTACTGCGTATTTTGTAGTCCCCTTATCTATTGATTGCTGGTCTTATTTGTGATTTTATTTGCAGAACGCTGTCATGTTATACTGGTATAATTTATCATTTTCTGAATGGACTAACTGATGAAGAAACTAAACTACTGGTGAGCACCTTAATTCCATCTTGCCATCGTAGACGGAGTATATTATCTGCACCTAATTCTGTATATAGGGTATATATATCGTTCCTCAGTTTGACCGATAGTCAAGTATCCTCCCATCCACTAAAGGTAAACACAATTTCTCTTATGGTCTCGGAGAATGCAAGATATGGTATTTCGGGATTCGATTTTGATGCTATACAGGAACAATTGCACGTTTTCTCTTGCTGGTGTCCACTTATCTATCTGTGTTCATCCCATTTTACCTAAAATGATTTGCCGTATTAGTCTGAAGAATCAGTAGGGAAATAAGTACATGCCTGAAGGGCCTCATATTCCTGAAACCAAGAGTGCTGCCGTGTCTCTTTGGTTTAATTAAATCCTGCCTATATCCAATAGGCCTAATGGTACTGCTTTTATGTAGGATTTGAAGATTTTACATTCTGTGTTAGCTCAATGTGGGTCCAATTTATATGTTTAACTTTTTAGGATAGGATTTTATATACCTCAATGTTTCCTTGATTATATATCTGAATATAATCTGAATAGTTCTGTAAGGAGGAAATTTGATGTTTTGATAAGTTGAAGGAAAAGTTTCTATATCTACGCTCTGAAATTTAGCGTATATGGAGTATATTTAGTCAAATTTATGCACCTTAATTTAGCACCTAAAATCAAGATCATCTTACTTGGTAGTCTGGTACATTATACAAGATTGCTGCATAATTTTTTTAATGAATGCCTGCAGAAAGCAAATGGTGTTGTTTCAGATTTCAGAATGTAAATTGCCATAGATGGAAACACATGATAAGACGCTTTAAGTTATAAGTTACAATAGCTAAGATTCTGAAAGTCTGAACTTTGGAATATTCATTGAGAAAAGGTAGCCCTAAAAGTCTGAATTTGGCTAAAAAGTCTGAAAGTGTGAAATTCGGAACATGAAATGGCTAATATTCTGAAAGGCTGAACATTGGGATAATTTTGCATTACAGGTTATGATAATGGGATGGATCAGATGAAAACATAACTACATTAAATAATTTTTCATGATGAAACTATATATATATGTATATATCAACTTTTAGATCCTTTTTGTATATAAATGTGAATACTACATTGAATTGTTATGATTTTATTGTACCAAACTTCTATCTCCTAACCACACTATGTTCTTTCCGTTCACATAAATAAGTGGTCAAGCATAGTCGTGTTTCTTAAGATATCCCTTCTGACTTTTCAAATTGGACACTTTGATTCGTAGTGTATCTTTGTAGCTCTGCCACAAGTAATTTTGCTACTCAACAAAATACTCTCTCCGTTTTTTAATAGATGACGCCGTTGACTTTTTCTCACATGTTTGACCATTCGTCTTATTCAAAAAATTTATGCAAATGTATAAGATATAAATCACACATAAAGTACTATGAGTGATAAAACAACTCATAACAAAATAAATTATAATTACGTAAATTTTTTGAATAAGACGAATGGTCAAACGTGTGAGAAAAAGTCAACAGCGTCATCTATTAAAAAACGGAGGTAGTAGCTTGGTAAGAACTGAAGGGTTGGTTGTACAACACATGCCAGTTGATTGACAAGAAGAATCAATTCTGTATAATATATCACTTTCACATTTCTGGTTTGCAACTGAATCCCAACATTTAAGGGTGGAGTTGATATGGTTTTGGTTTGGCATGTATTGTTATAGGTTAATGGGATGTATAATGTTGTCTTTGGTGTTGACGAGTTCAATTTATGTATCATGTTTCCATATTTACAGTATGAAATCACAACATTATGAATGGAATGCATCTCAAGTTTGTTTATATTTTATCGGTTAGGTTAGGTATGGATCCAAATGCTTCGACCAATGGAAGGCGCATCGCCTTCCAAGATATAACTAATGTATATATGGTTATATGTCTTGCCTATATAGTTATATGTCTATACGTCGACGTGCTTTGCACGTGCACGTGCACGCTCACTAGTACTGTAACTATGTATGACAGGTAAAGAACCGCATCAATTTACATAAAGCAGTTTAGCACTTTGATAAATCGTTCTCAAATATTGGAAAAAGGATTTTGCCATAAGCCAAAGCACTACTTTCTTAAGATTATTTTTACTCAATCTCATAATATTAAAGACCAAAGCAAGAATGCAAGACATGGATATTCACAATATAAACAACTTAACATAGTTTTGACTCCATGGAAATGTATAAAAACTACATTTTAAAACGTCAACAGAAATTTGGGATGATCTTCAAGACGCAGAAGTATTTGATATTTGAACACTGGAAAAAAAAATAACAGTAACACTGAGCTCCAAATCTGTTTAGCTTTTTCTTACAACATTTAAATATAAAACGATGACAACGAAACCAGTAAAAAGAATAATAAATGATCTGCTCTTGCTATTCTCTTCAGAGAATATCGACTGCTTATGTTTGGAGTTTGCCTCTCCAGAGTTGTCGGGCAATAATAATTACTTAAATTACAGGCAAAAAAATTGATCGGCATGCCCCTATGCTTCAATCTGTACTTGCTACAATTTGACATCTGAAAAATCCACATCACAATGTTCTATTCACTGAACTGCACATATATTTCCCTTGTGAGCCTGAGCCTTATACATCATAATTGCAGATGTTGTCGAAACCCATGTACTCGTGTCGCGCAATCTTGCCAATCATGTTGGAGATGCCGACTCCACCTAAAGATTACAAATGGTTGCATCAGTGGTACTGTGTTAAAGTCATGGTTTCCGAACTAATTACAGTGCAGTAAGGGGGAGGAAATGGTACCTAGTGAGATTGCGCTGATGAAGATCATGAAGGACAGAATGAAGATAATGAGTGATGCCCGCCCTAACCAATTGATCAGCTTCCTTACAATGTGCTGTCCAATAATCGCCGCAAAAAAGGCCACAACGGTGAAGAAAAGAGCTGCAAAGGGTTCAAAGATTAAATGTCAAATGCACGGCATCATTTGTGTTTTAGGTGTGTGCAGGGAAGAGAGAGTACCATATGGCACAGGGAACCGGTCCAAGAGGTAGTATTCAACAACAGACATGGAAGATGAGAACATCATTGCAAAGGTGGCTGTGGCACTTGAGACCTGTGATAGTTTCAGTTATGGAGGCGAAAAACAAACATCAACAAAATCCGACAAAATTCAACAGGTATGAAAGAAGCGCATAATGTATATGAACAAAAAGCATTCATGATTCAGAAATGCATATGAACAAAAGCATTCATGATTCAAAACCCAAAAGTTACCTGTGGAGGGATTCCAAGCTCCAAGAACAGAGGCCCCATGATGAAGCCGCCACCAAGACCAAGCAAGCCGCCAACAACACCAGCCATCATTCCAAAAAAGCAGTACACCAGAAGCTGGTGAAATTTTAGATTGGTTTGTTCATCTCCTTTTGATGATATGACCCTCCTCCCCTGCATCAAGCCCAATCCTTCGTACATGGTCACCCCAACTGACACCGGGATCTGCATTTCTCAAGAAAAGATGCACTGTAACAGTTAACTAGCTAGGTTATATTGGATATGATCATGCCATGAGATGTACAATCTAGCAGGGATGCCATATGCAGTTCTAATCAATGACCAATTCGAGAAAAAATTAAGAATGGACCACTATGATGCATTACAACCTCTGCAAAAAAATTAGTTAATTTATAGCAATAAGTGATGATGTGTCCAGGTAGTTAACAGCCTGATGGCATGAAAAGCCTCTTAAATATCAAGTGATACATATCTTCTATTCTGTACAACATTTGCATAAAACTACCTAAGCTATGAATCTATTATTCAAATTCGAGGTAAGACAGTACAATACCTGGAGAAAGTTCAAAACCCAGTACCACGTGGAGCAAGTAGGCATGTAATTCTGCAAAAAAGAAAAATAATATAAGATGGTTGACTGGATGTTACTGTCAATGCTACAGTATTTTTGTTTCTTGGAATGCAATATCTCTCTTCGCATTATAGTTGCAAAAAAGAAAAAAACTCCTGGCATTCATGTTAAGTTGAGGCGCACACCTTAGTGACCTGAAGCACAAGGAATGCTATCCAAACAAAGGCAAGAAGTCCAAACTCCTTCCAGTAAACATTTTGCCATAGAGATGCCTGCAGTATCAGGTAAGTTATATTCTTAAGTCCTTCAAATGATAGCTAACCAATGCCAGGGAATATAAAGATCACAATTTTTTTTCTTACTGCTTCATCTGATGGGGCTTTTGACTCAGCTGTGGCATTCGGCCCTGTGGGCAGCGGACTATACTCCGGTTCTTCAGCTGATACATAAAGACTATATGAGCAACAATATCTACATTTCATGAAAATTGAGTAATTTTGTTTCATACTCACCTATTTGCTCCAACCGCTTTGCTGCCTCCTAAAATGAGTGGGACCACAAGAAGATCAATATTGGCAGATTAGTAGTATATTAATGAAGGAAAGGAATATTAATGATGCTTTGATTGTCAAGCTTGAAATCTGGAATGTTGGTTGAAAGCTGATAGATGCAAGATTGCAAGGGGAAGGAAATATTACCCTTTTGAGTATTGTCTCTTTCTTCCACGTCTCAACACCCTTCAGAAAAGCTTTAGTTGAAGTGCCTACAATTTAATTGGAAATTTAAACTGAAGTCAACAGAAGGCAATAGGTTAAGCCATTTTTTGCTGTTTCAGGACACAAGGGAGCACCTAGGAAAAGGATGATCAATAGAACTGTGATGAGCCAATCAGGGAATATGACATTGAAAAGAACACCGATGCTGATCCCTAGCATGAGCATCGGCTGGATAAGCAGGGCTAGATCATAGTCAATAACAGGCATATCCAAAGTTGGGTGCTTCAGCTTGAGGTTGTAGTAGACAGTTGACACAGCTGCCCCCATTATCATACCTGTTCCAAAGTTTATAATGGCTTAATCAGATCATGAACCTAACAAACGTTTCGCGCATATATCTGTCACTGTTTTCTACTTTCCCTGTGTCATTATTTTTTGAAATGTTAGATGCTAAGAGTTTCATAATTGTTATGCTCTTATAAAGTTTGCATTGGATTTATCTCCTGTTGCATTACAAATTGTAAAAATGGTTTATGTGAATAAGTATAAAGTACAGTACTGCACTCACTTTACAGTACAGTTTTAGAAACAGTGCAGTAACATTGCACAACAATCTCTTGAAGTGATATTTGACTATTCTCAAACACTTAAAGTTCTAAACATCCATTTTCAGATGTAGACCAGTATTCTAAAAAATAGATCACCAGCAATTTGGTGAATATTCCAAGTTATGTACGGTTCTTTGCTTCCTTTTTTCCCCTTTTTGTGAATGTCATATGTATGGTTCAATTGATGACTGTTAGACAAGTCTCAAAACCAAATTATGTGGAAGTGGGTCAAAGAAAATTATAGAATTCACTAAAAATGAAATAGAAACATGATTCGTAATGCATGGGTCGGACAGACTAAGCTGATCTTCTGTATAGTGTAGAAACAATAATCATTATCGGTCCACCACGGTAAACAATACTACCTCTGTTTTTTAATAGACGACGCCGTTGACTTTTTCTTACATGTTTGACCATTCGTATTATTCAAAAAATTTATGTAATTATAATTTATTATTTTATGAGTTGTTTTATCACTCATAGTACTTTAAGTGTGATTTATATCTTATACATTTGTATAAAATTTTTGAATAAGACGAATGATCAAACATGTGAGAAAAAGTTAACGGCGTCATCTATTAAAAAACGGAGGTAGTACTAATCATTATGGGTTCATTGTAAACATGAACACAAGGTTCTCGTTTTTTCAAAGCTTCAGTTATCTTTTTTTTTTTCTTTCTGAAGCAACAGTACTTATCTTTTATTTTGAAAGGCACGGTTCAATGGTACCAATAAGGATGATATTGATTGCACTGCTGAGTGCTGACAATGACTGCAAAGGACAAACATAATAGGTTCCTTCTTTCAGATAATCCATGCAAGAACAGATGAAATGCTGTTAAACGAACTAAACCCTCACATTTTGATATCGCCGTTGATGATTTCGCGTCGAAACCAATGATCAAGGTCAGCATCGGCACGAAAATCCCACCGCCACCTACTCCTCCTACACTTCCAAACGCTGCTCCAAAGAATCCAATTAATATTCCCAAAACAATTTTCCAACCAAATTCCATCGGCTGCAAAAACAAAGTGATTCATTTAAATCAACAAATTAACGGCATATTGACACAAAAACGAGAGGTATATATATACTCCCTTTGTTTCATATTATAAGTCGTTTGATTTTTTTTCTAGTCAAACTTTGTGAAATTTGACTAAATTTATAAAAAAATTTAGCAACATCTAAAATATAAAATCAGTTTCATTAAATTTAATAATGAATATATTTTTATAGTATGTTTGGTTTGTGTTTAAAAAACTGCTATGCTTTTCTATAAACTTGGTCAAATTTAAAGAAGTTTGACTATAAAAAAGTCAAATGACTTATAATATAAAACAGAGGGAGTATAAAAGATGTTCGAAATATCCTACAAAAAATCGACAGCCTATAAATATGCTGTAAAAAATCAACATGTTATAAAAAATGGAGAGCAGTATATGAACTACTATTGACAGGGTCATCACGAAAGATAAGTGCAGTGTTCTTCCACAAAACAAAACTGCAGTCTTTAGCAATTAAGCCAGCAAATTTATTCCCCTGAAAAAACTCAAGGTAGGAACACTCCATTCAGTTAGACATGTTTTTGACCAAATTTTAGGATAAACCGATAATAACTGAGAATCCTATATAAAGCCAGTAGTAAAGAAAGAGAAAGGTAAAGATTTTCGTAGTTTTAAACCGTGAATCAAACAAAATACTACATCAGCACCACCAGAACTCTTAAACTCTTTTTTTAGATGATTGCACCAAAAATGACAAAACTAAAAAAAAAAACAAGATACTTACTAAAAATATATACATAAAAAAAAAACATGTTCCAACACGGGAAAAAAGGACAAAAAAAAATACAGCTCCAAGATTAATTAATTGTCAGAAACAGAAGAGAGTGTGCTTTGTAGTAGTAGTAGTATTACCGGCCACACGTGGTGATAAGAGGCCTCGCCGCTCCACAGAAAGTTGACGACTTTCCTCATGTAGCCCACCTCCTCCGGCGCCGCCACCGCGTCGGCGAACGTGAACCCCCTGTCGCCGGCGGCGACTGCGGCGGCCGCGCAGGCGGCCACGCCGACGGCGGCGAGGGCGTGCCATCTCCTCCCCATTTTGTATCCTTCTTTAATTTAGCCCCCCCTGCATGCGAAATCCAATTAAAGAAGGAAAGTGCAATTAAATCTTTGAGCTCTTCCAGGCCTCAGAGAAATAAGGCAGCGAGTTTGCTTCTTTGATCTGTGCCTCGCAATGAACTTACAAAGATAGATAGATAGATAGATAGCGCGAAGAGTTCTTGGAAACCAACCCTGGCGTTCGATGGAAACTGTGGAGGCGGCGGCCGGCGATCGTCGGAGGCCGGGGCGGCGAGGTTGGCAAGGAATGCGAGGAGGAAGAGGATGGAGGTAGAGCGGGGCGAGAGAGGGAGAGAAGCGGAAGCGACGATATCCTTGTGGCAACTGCCAATGGAGAGGACAGAGATCCTAGTATAGCAGTTTAGAGAGGGGGGAGTTTTACACTAAAGACCCTGTAAACATAGAAAATTTGTATTTTTTCACTTCCATTTTTTTTTGGATAGGCACTTCATTATATTGGGAAACAATATGCGTACTAAATTATTGAGGATGTAAACAATTTCTCGTCAAAAATTTGACAGATGTAATTATAATACAATCGTTATGTAATTGCATTGTAAATTGTATGTGACTTTCATAAATCCCTCCGTAACATGCCTTTCCTGTGAAACGAATGCCATGGGGCCGAATCCCCTCGCACGTGCGCGCTGTGATTTTTTTTTCTTCTTCACTTGCATAAATCTTAAAAAAAATCTAACGATTCAAAATTATATAAAAGTTGCATACATGCTACATTATAATTACATGCAAGATACAACATAATCAATCAAACTTATACGGAAAATTTATTAATAAATTTATAGCAAACTTTTTACAAACATTGATGTGTTACATATTCTCGTTAGCGAAGAGTTTGTAAGAAATTGTGTAGTATTACTCTTGTATGTTTGTTGGTAGGATTTGCTAAACTACATTCTAATACAAATTGATCTGCTACATGATCTCCGATGACTTTGATGAACTCTACCAGTTAAGATAGGGGGTATAATTGGGGTAGCAGGGGCTGGGTGAAGGGTGGTGAAAAGTAAGTTCCCGGTTTAGGCCTGGTTTAGTTCCTAACTTTTTCTTTAAACTTTTAACTTTTTCATCATATCAAAACTTTTCTACATACACAAACTTTCAACTTTTCCGTCACATCGTTCCAATTTCAATCAAACTTCCAATTTTGATGTGAACTAAACACACTCTTAAAGGGAGACTGGGGCAGCGAAGATCTAGCAGTGGGTGACGGCGACTTGTGGGAATGGAGGAGGTTAGTGGGTGAAGAAGCTAGCAGGGGGTATCAAGAAAATAATGGTTAGGCACAATGGGGGCATCGACACAGGTAAGCAAAGGGGAAGAATGGAGCATAGGGAAGGAGGGAAGATAGTGACAGTGTTGGACTGGACAAGAGACATGCCAGCATTGACCCGGCTAGATGGAGTGGCAGTGGCGCCTGGGATTAAATCACTCAGTTTTAAGCTCTTTTTTTTTCTCTAAGTTCATTTCTCATAATATTTAATCTATCCCTATACTCAAATAGATAATCCACGACAATAATGTGCTCAATACAATATTTTAAACTCTATAATTAACATTTGGAATAAAAAATTATGTAAACATGCAAAAATATACAGTCATGTTTAAAATATCTTTAATGATAAAATAAAATAAATTAAATAATTATATTTTTAATAAGATGATTGATCAGATATACGTCAAGTGAACTGTATCTTCGTATAAATATATAAGACGGCCCGGAGGAGTGGTTTAGTTGATTAGGCCACGGAATTTGAAGTTAAAGAATCGTGTTCGACCAGGTATGCTTGAACTGTTTTGAAACGATCTAATGCGATGAATTGTCACGCTATATATCACTTTACACTCTGTTTGACATCAGTGAAAGGGAACTAATTATGATAATTACAGATCTTTTGTATTAATTGTTAAAATTATAAGCACATAATGATTTAATTTATTCCATAAATAAATCATGACATTGCAGATGTAAACTAGATTGGACGCATCATTAGATCTACACATGTAAACTAAGCAGTAAAACATGAACAGATCAAATATGCGCAACATGTCGAACACGTACCGAGGTGGCGGAAAGACCGGTTGCTTGGCAGGAACTATTCGCGGTTGCGAGCGTCGACGAAGGCGCGAAGCACGCGAGCGGAGAGGAAGGCGAGCCGTCGCGGACGAACAGGGAGCAGTCGCGCGAAGCGCTTCCTAAAAACCTTATTGCCGCCTTATCCCGGTGCAGGACGTCGAAGGCAGAGGTTCCGGAGACCTGCTCTCCCGATCGCCGGTGCACGCCGACGAGCGGGATGGAGTAGTCTACGAGCGACGGCGCAGTACAGAGTAGGAGGCAAACCCTAGATTGATTTCGCGTGTGTTGCGTGAAGGCGGTGGCTCGGTTTATATAGAGATAGATCGCCTGATCAGGGCGCCCGCGTAAACTGAACCGGATAAGTCGCGCGTAACCTATCCGGACTCTATGCCGTTTTCGCGCGTAACCTATAACTCATTATAAGTGCCAACCTTTTTTTTAAGAAAAGGAACCATTATATTTATAACTTTTTTTAAAAACACACACACAAATATCTAGGATATAAGTCCGATTTTAAGGCAAACGACAGTTGATGACGGAGCCGAGCCGATGGCTAGGCCTGGAGTACAAGAATGAAAAGAAATTCCTTGTTCTTATCCCCTCGCACTTCTCATCATGTGTTCTTATCCTCTTGCACGCCCTTCTTTTTCCCGTTGCTCCTTCTCTCCCATCTCTACCTTCGCTCCTCTCCCTACCATGGCCGACACCTCTCCCTCTACCCTGCGTGGTGGCCGGCGCCTCTCGATCTTCCTGGCCACTCGATGTTGATGGGAGGTTGACACGACGGCGACAAGGAGGTCCAGTGAGGTCTTCCTTTCTTGGGCCAGATATGGCAGCCCCCGAGTCACGACGGCGAGGAGGATGGCGAGGTTGGATGGCTCCACAGGAGGACTACTCCTTCAATTGGGAACTCCCCTGCTACGAGGATTCGTGGGTGAAAACGGCGGTGCCCACTTTTGTGCTTGGTTTTCTTGATTTTCGGGGAAAGGGAAATATGCTGGAGTTTGTGTTCTAGGGCATATGGGTTTGTGTTGGATTGAAACATGAACTTTGATGAATGTTCTGGATTTTGTTTTTGAGTGAAATGTAATGTATGTTCTTGATCTCTTCTTTCGTGGCCTTTGATGCGAATCTCAGGAGGTGTTGAACTTAAAGCATCATCTTGATCCATCGAGCCATTCTTTTTTCTTTCCTTGTTAAGTTCATATAGGGTTCCTAAACCGGCAAAAAAAACGTATCTCATCAGTGTTACTTGTGGGGTGACGGTTGTAGAAACATCACTTATATAGGCTTTTGAACCAGCACCAAACTGTGATTATAGCTATATTTGATTTTATGTCGAATAATAGATAAGTAGTATCTTTAACTTTATTCCAAAAATTATGCAACAATTTAAAGAGCCATGACAATTGAGCAGCATATTTTATCTAACCTAATTTGATCAAATAAAACAGACCACAACGAGAATACATTTTCATTCCCGTACGCACGAGAATTAACAACAATATAGCAAGCCGATCGAAACCGAACGAGTGATATATATATAATGTCATTCTTATATAGTGGAGATATATACTCCCTCCGTTTTAGATTCCAATCTAAAACTGGTGGAGTATTAATTATCATCGACAAGTAAGCAGTGAAGGAGAAAAAAAAAGTCGATTGATTGGGGGTGTCGTGTTCTACCTGCTTGGCTGCCAATTAATAAGAAGATAAGACGAGGCATGGATCGACTGAGAAGAGTTCATTCTTATTTTTGCTTTCCTATATTAACGCTGACAGCCGGCCAGGTTCCGTAGGTGATACGCGTATACAACAATCGTGTCGATCCAATCCGGTCGAGATCGTCGGCGATAATAAGCGCAGTACGACGACAAGTTTAATTAGGACAATAGCCCGTCGCGCTTATACACGTTCCCAAGCACACTTATTACACGTCCTAATCAACAGATGCGCCAACACATATATATTCAGATCAGATCGACTCTCTCTCACTGGGTCACTCTGCTACTATTAATTATTTTGCAAGTGGCCACCAATCATTGTACGTATGTCTCTTGCTCTTTTTTTTTTCGTCATGTATATATGCATGGAAAATATATACGTTTGTATGATGCCGAAATTTTAACAGTTTAACTGTATATAGAAACTTATTATAACAATAGATCGTGCCAGAAACCTGACCAACAAATTATTAAACAATACTGCGAGATCGATGCTCGACGTCATTGAGGATCGCAATGAGATCCAACACCTCAACGTCGTGTCCTTTGATGTCAAGATTTTAGCATGTTGAAACTAGAAATGATGATGAGATTTAGCCACACCGGAACCAACAATTCGCTTGGTAAGGGATAAGTGCCAATATTCGTTTTTTTCAATCATATGTTTTCCACAGAATGTTTATTATACCCTTGTTAATGAATTGTCGCACCCTCCTCCCCAATCCCCCTTCACCTAACCCTAACCCCAAAACCTAAGTGGTTGCTCGAAGTCACCCCAGTTCATGGCAAATGTTAGATATGAAAGATATATCATCACAAGAATCACGGAGCTAACCGGAAGGTCAATAATTTGTAAGATCTAGCCACAAGTTTCTTTCCAAGTTGTGTAGAAAATGGGTATAAAATATGATGATTGATGTTTTGCTATGGGTACAAGTGGGTGGACCCGCAGATACCATGCATGGACGGACGCAATTAATTTGTTTATATAATTCTACTCAATATAATTAGCTAGCATGTGGAAAAGTTTGCACTTCTAGATGAATATATATATGTTGTAGGTGAATAGTTGGACACCCATAAGCTAGTGAGAAAAGCTTGTATTTCTAGTTGCAAGAATATATAATAAAAATGGTTTATTGCATATGTGATCTCTTTCGTTGGGCACAAAGTCACTGACGGTCAATCGAGTATATATATGATATATCACTTTGATAAATTTAAACTCAATTTGTGGGAGAAGCTATCAACGATTGAACGATATTGAGTAATAATTAATGCAATAAATTAATATCCATATCATATATGGCCCTCTAATTATAACTAGGTAGATAAAGTGACGTGAACATATATGAGCAACAAATATAATTGCAGGGTTTGTATCATTGTGTTAATTTGTGTGGATCATCAGCACTCTGGCTCTTGGACGTCCATTTGGCCGGCTATCTTTGGCCTGTGTCATTAATTAATTCTGCACCTCTCACAATTATTCTATCTGCACATGCATGCAAATGCATTTA